GTGTGTCTTCGTCTCTCACCTCACTCTCTCCGTGTCGCTCCCTGTCTTCACGTGTGTGTGTGTGTGTGTCTGTCCGTGTGTGTGTGTGTCTCTCACCTCACTCTCTCCGTGTCGCTCCCTGTCTTCACGTGTGTGTGTGTGTCTCTCACCTCACTCTCTCCGTGTCGCTCCCTGTCTTCACATGTGTGTGTGTGTGTGTCTGTCCGTGTGTGTGTGTGTGTGTGTGTCTCTCACCTCACTCTCTCCGTGTCGCTCCCTGTCTTCACGTGTGTGTGTGTGTGTGTCTGTCCGTGTGTGTGTGTGTGTCTCTCACCTCACTCTCTCCGTGTCGCTCCCTGTCTTCACGCGTGTGTGTGTGTCTCTCACCTCACTCTCTCCGTGTCGCTCCCTGTCTTCACGCGTGTGTGTGTGTCTCTCACCTCACTCTCTCCGTGTCGCTCCCTGTCTTCACGTGTGCGTGCGTGTGTGTGTGTGTGTGTGTGTGTGTGTGTGTGTCTCTCACCTCACTCTCTCCGTGTCGCTCCCTGTCTTCACGTGTGTGTGTGTGTGTGTGTGTCTCTCACCTCACTCTCTCCGTGTCGCTCCCTGTCTTCACGTGTGTGTGTGTGTGTGTCTCTCTCTCTCACCTCACTCTCTCCGTGTCGCTCCCTGTCTTCACGCGTGTGTGTGTGTCTCTCACCTCACTCTCTCCGTGTCGCTCCCTGTCTTCACGTGTGCGTGTGTGTGTGTGTGTGTGTGTGTGTCTCTCACCTCACTCTCTCCGTGTCGCTCCCTGTCTTCACGTGTGTGTGTGTGTGTGTGTGTGTGTGTCTCTCACCTCACTCTCTCCGTGTCGCTCCCTGTCTTCACGTGTGTGTGTGTGTGTGTCTCTCTCTCTCACCTCACTCTCTCCGTGTCGCTCCCTGTCTTCACCACAGCAAAGGGTTCTGGTCGGCTCCAGTCCCAGAAGTGCAGCTCGTTGTTGGTGGCGATGAGCAGCAGCTGGGCTGTGGGGTGGAAGGCCAGCGAGGCGATGGCCACGTTGCTCTCAGTGAACCAGCTCTCACTGCCACCCTGCACACAGCAAACACTCAGTTACTCTCCCAGACCCTCACACATGAGACACACAGGGAGACACAGAGACACAGAGAGACACACAGAGAGACACAGAGAGACTCAGAGAGACTCAGAGACACAGAGAGACTCAGAGACACAGAGAGACACAGAGAGACTCAGAGAGACTCAGAGAGACTCAGAGAGACTCAGAGACACAGAGAGACACAGAGAGACACAGAGAGACACAGAGAGACTCAGAGAGACACAGAGAGACTCAGAGAGACTCAGAGAGACACAGAGAGACACAGAGAAACTCAGAGAGACACAGAGAGACTCAGAGAGACTCAGAGAAACTCAGAGAGACTCAGAGAGACTCAGAGAGACTCAGAGAAACTCAGAGAGACACAGAGAGACTCAGAGACTCAGAGAGACACAGAGAGACTCAGAGACTCAGAGAGACTCAGAGAGACACAGAGAGACTCAGAGAGACACAGAGAGACTCAGAGACTCAGAGAGACACAGAGAGACTCAGAGAGACTCAGAGAGACTCAGAGAGACTCAGAGACTCAGAGAGACACAGAGAGACTCAGAGACACAGAGAGACACAGAGAGACTCAGAGACTCAGAGAGACACAGAGAGACTCAGAGACTCAGAGAGACACAGAGAGACACAGAGAGACTCAGAGACACAGAGCGACTCAGAGAGACACAGAGAGACTCAGAGAGACACAGAGAGACACAGAGAGACACAGAGAGACTCAGAGAGACTCAGAGACACAGAGCGACTCAGAGAGACACAGAGAGACACACAGAGACACGAGAGAGCAGGAACTCTGATGAAAACACTGATGGTTTATTTGGAGCTTCAACCGGAGAATTCACAAGACATGTTCTGTGTTTCTGAAGATCTCTACCCCAGACCACAAGATGAAGCACTATAACCTCTATCAGCTGACGCCAACAGGAGGAACAGAGAGACACTGAGAGCAGCCCAAGGTGCAGCTGCTCAGTGAGGACACACTGCTCAGTGAGGACACACTGCTCAGTGAGGACACACTGATCAGTGAGGACACACTGCTCAGTGAGGACACATTGATCAGTGAGGACACATTGATCAGTGAGGACACGCTGATCAGTGAGGACACGCTGCTCAGTGAGGACACGCTGCTCAGTGAGGACACGCTGCTCAGTGAGGACACACTGCTCAGTGACGACACACTGATCAGTGAGGACACACTGCTCAGTGAGGACACACTGCTCAGTGAGGACACACTGATCAGTGAGGACACACTGCTCAGTGAGGACACATTGATCAGTGAGGACACGCTGATCAGTGAGGACACGCTGCTCAGTGAGGACACGCTGCTCAGTGAGGACACGCTGCTCAGTGAGGACACGCTGATCAGTGAGGACACGCTGCTCAGTGAGGACACGCTGCTCAGTGAGGACACGCTGATCAGTGAGGACACGCTGATCAGTGAGGACACGCTGATCAGTGAGGACACGCTGCTCAGTGAGGACACGCTGCTCAGTGAGGACACGCTGCTCAGTGAGGACACACTGATCAGTGAGGACACACTGATACCCTGGGTCAGAGGTGTGGACCTATAGGACAATATTTCCCCAACACCAACCATCAGACCCTGTGGAGACTTGGTCTACTCGCCCTGAAGGACCTAACCTCAACACACACACACACACTTCAACACACTGACACATCAAGACAAACACACACATATATATCAACACACACACACTTCAACACACTGACACATCAAGACAAACACACACATATATATCAACACACACACACTTCAACACACTGACACATCAAGACAAACACACACATATATATCATCACACACACACTTCAACACACTGACACATCAAGACAAACACACATATATATATATCATCACACACACACATATATATCATCACACACACACTTCAACACACTGACACATCAAGACAAACACACGCATATATATCATCACACACACACTTCAACACACTGACACATCAAGACAAACACACACACACATATATCATCACACACACACATCAAGACAAACACACACACACATATATCATCACACACACACCACACCAAGACACATCCCAGCTCACACACACATCAACATAAACATGTCACATCAAGACACACACATCGACACACACACACACACACACATCAACACAATAACACATTTGCAAATCCACCTTTCACCCCACATGTTGCCCTCCTGAAATGTAAACCCTAAACATCTGTCTCTGTTAAACACATCCAAGACTACAAGTACAATTGAACAGAGCATAAGACTATATGATGATGATGAGACATGACAGCAGTTAACAATACCATCCACAGAGAGAGAGATGATGCAATGAGTGGATTTGTGTACATGGTCCTTGTTGAAATGAATACATAATAATGAAACCCATCACTCACATGCAGGTCCCAGATCCGGACTTCCCCATCGAGGCAGCCGGAGGCCACCAGGCCGGGGATGGTGGGGTGAAAGGTCACACACCAGGGGGTCCTGCGGTGGCCCACCAAGGAATGGAGGCACTTCCCAGTCTTCACCTCCGTTATGTAAATGTTGTGGTTCACATGCGTGGAGGCCATGAGAGTCCTTTGAGAGGCAGACGCAGTGACATCATTAAGGAACACTTCAACAATATGAGCTAATACGATATAGAACTAATACAGAGCTGCAGGGACGTCGTGTTTCTGTACTGGACGCTGAAGGCAGCGTCTCCGTTATTCAATCCACCAGTTGGGTTTTTACTGACGTAGTTTACGGGTAGAACAACACGTTAACATCTCTTCAGCTTGTGTTAACAGGAAGTGCTGAAATGCTGACTCATGATAAGGTTTAAGGATTGACTCATAATGCTGAGTCATGTCAGGGTTTTAAGATGTGTTCAGGTTCCAGGTGAATTAACAGCTGGAAACCCTGTGATGAGTTCAGGTTCCAGGTGAATTAACAGATGGAAACCCTGTGATGTGTTCAGGTTCCAGGTGAATTAACAGCTGGAAACCCTGTGATGAGTTCAGGTTCCAGGTGAATTAACAGCTGGAAACCCTGTGATGAGTTCAGGCTCCAGGTGAATTAACAGCTGGAAACCCTGTGATGAGTTCAGGCTCCAGGTGAATTAACAGCTGGAAACCCTGTGTTGTGTTCAGGTTCCAGGTGAATTAACAGATGGAAACCCTGTGTTGTGTTCAGGTTCCAGGTGAATTAACAGATGGAAACCGTGTGATGTGTTCAGGTTCCAGGTGAATTAACAGATGGAAACCCTGTGATGTGTTCAGGTTCCAGGTGAATTAACAGATGGAGACCCTGTGATGTGTTCAGGTTCCAGGTGAATTAACAGATGGAAACCCTCCCTGTGATGTGTTCAGGCTCCAGGTGAATTAACAGTTGGAAACCCTGTGTTGTGTTCAGGCTCCAGGTGAATTAACAGCTGGAAACCCTGTGTTGTGTTCAGGTTCCAGGTGAATTAACAGATGGAAACCCTGCGTTGTGTTCATGTTCCAGGTGAATTAACAGATGGAAACCCTGCGTTGTGTTCAGGTTCCAGGTGAATTAACAGATGGAAACCCTCCCTGTGATGTGTTCAGGTTCCAGGTGAATTAACAGATGGAAACCCTGTGATGTGTTCAGGCTCCAGGTGAATTAACAGATGGAAACCCTCCCTGTGATGTGTTCAGGTTCCAGGTGAATTAACAGATGGAAACCCTGTGATGTGTTCAGGTTCCAGGTGAATTAACAGATGGAAACCCTGTGATGTGTTCAGGTTCCAGGTGAATTAACAGCTGGAAACCCTGCGTTGTGTTCAGGCTCCAGGTGAATTAACAGATGGAAACCCTGTGTTGTGTTCATGTTCCAGGTGAATTAACAGATGGAAACCCTGCGTTGTGTTCAGGTTCCAGGTGAATTAACAGCTGGAAACCCTCCCTGTGATGTGTTCAGGTTCCAGGTGAATTAACAGCTGGAAACCCTCCCTGTGATGTGTTCAGGTTCCAGGTGAATTAACAGCTGGAAACCCTCCCTGTGATGTGTTCAGGTTCCAGGTGAATTAACAGCTGGAAACCCTGTGATGTGTTCAGGTTCCAGGTGAATTAACAGATGGAAACCCTGTGTTGTGTTCAGGTTCCAGGTGAATTAACAGCTGGAAACCCTGTGATGTGTTCAGGTTCCAGGTGAATTAACAGATGGAAACCCTCCCTGTGATGTGTTCAGGTTCCAGGTGAATTAACAGCTGGAAACCCTCCCTGTGATGTGTTCAGGTTCCAGGTGAATTAACAGATGGAAACCCTGCGTTGTGTTCATGTTCCAGGTGAATTAACAGATGGAAACCCTGTGTTGTGTTCAGGTTCCAGGTGAATTAACAGCTGGAAACCCTCCCTGTGATGTGTTCAGGTTCCAGGTGAATTAACAGCTGGAAACCCTCCCTGTGATGTGTTCAGGTTCCAGGTGAATTAACAGCTGGAAACCCTCCCTGTGATGTGTTCAGGTTCCAGGTGAATTAACAGCTGGAAACCCTCCCTGTGATGTGTTCAGGTTCCAGGTGAATTAACAGCTGGAAACCCTCCCTGTGTTGTGTTCAGGTTCCAGGTGAATTAACAGATGGAAACCCTGCGTTGTGTTCATGTTCCAGGTGAATTAACAGATGGAAACCCTGTGTTGTGTTCATGTTCCAGGTGAATTAACAGATGGAAACCCTGTGTTGTGTTCAGGTTCCAGGTGAATTAACAGATGGAAACCCTGCGTTGTGTTCATGTTCCAGGTGAATTAACAGATGGAAACCCTGTGATGTGTTCATGTTCCAGGTGAATTAACAGATGGAAACCCTCCCTGTGATGTGTTCAGGTTCCAGGTGAATTAACAGATGGAAACCCTCCCTGTGATGTGTTCAGGTTCCAGGTGAATTAACAGATGGAAACCCTGCGTTGTGTTCAGGTTCCAGGTGAATTAACAGATGGAAACCCTCCCTGTGATGTGTTCAGGTTCCAGGTGAATTAACAGATGGAAACCCTGTGATGTGTTCAGGTTCCAGGTGAATTAACAGCTGGAAACCCTGTGATGTGTTCAGGTTCCAGGTGAATTAACAGATGGAAACCCTCCCTGTGATGTGTTCAGGTTCCAGGTGAATTAACAGCTGGAAACCCTCCCTGTGATGTGTTCAGGTTCCAGGTGAATTAACAGATGGAAACCCTGCGTTGTGTTCAGGTTCCAGGTGAATTAACAGATGGAAACCCTGTGATGTGTTCAGGTTCCAGGTGAATTAACAGCTGGAAACCCTCCCTGTGTTGTGTTCATGTTCCAGGTGAATTAACAGATGGAAACCCTGTGTTGTGTTCAGGTTCCAGGTGAATTAACAGATGGAAACCCTGTGATGTGTTCAGGTTCCAGGTGAATTAACAGCTGGAAACCCTCCCTGTGATGTGTTCATGTTCCAGGTGAATTAACAGCTGGAAACCCTGTGTTGTGTTCAGGCTCCAGGTGAATTAACAGATGGAAACCCTGTGTTGTGTTCATGTTCCAGGTGAATTAACAGATGGAAACCCTGTGATGTGTTCAGGTTCCAGGTGAATTAACAGATGGAAACCCTGTGTTGTGTTCAGGCTCCAGGTGAATTAACAGATGGAAACCCTGTGTTGTGTTCAGGTTCCAGGTGAATTAACAGATGGAAACCCTGCGTTGTGTTCAGGTTCCAGGTGAATTAACAGATGGAAACCCTCCCTGTGTTGTGTTCAGGTTCCAGGTGAATTAACAGATGGAAACCCTGTGATGTGTTCAGGTTCCAGGTGAATTAACAGCTGGAAACCCTGTGATGTGTTCAGGTTCCAGGTGAATTAACAGATGGAAACCCTCCCTGTGATGTGTTCAGGCTCCAGGTGAATTAACAGATGGAAACCCTGCGTTGTGTTCAGGTTCCAGGTGAATTAACAGATGGAAACCCTGTGATGTGTTCAGGCTCCAGGTGAATTAACAGCTGGAAACCCTCCCTGTGTTGTGTTCATGTTCCAGGTGAATTAACAGATGGAAACCCTCCCTGTGATGTGTTCAGGTTCCAGGTGAATTAACAGCTGGAAACCCTCCCTGTGATGTGTTCATTTTCCAGGTGAATTAACAGCTGGAAACCCTGTGTTGTGTTCAGGTTCCAGGTGAATTAACAGCTGGAAACCCTCCCTGTGTTGTGTTCAGGTTCCAGGTGAATTAACAGATGGAAACCCTCCCTGTGTTGTGTTCAGGTTCCAGGTGAATTAACAGCTGGAAACCCTCCCTGTGATGTGTTCATTTTCCAGGTGAATTAACAGCTGGAAACCCTGTGTTGTGTTCAGGTTCCAGGTGAATTAACAGATGGAAACCCTGTGTTGTGTTCATGTTCCAGGTGAATTAACAGATGGAAACCCTGTGATGTGTTCAGGTTCCAGGTGAATTAACAGATGGAAACCCTGTGTTGTGTTCAGGCTCCAGGTGAATTAACAGATGGAAACCCTGTGTTGTGTTCATGTTCCAGGTGAATTAACAGATGGAAACCCTGTGATGTGTTCAGGTTCCAGATGAATTAACAGATGGAAACCCTGTGATGTGTTCAGGTTCCAGGTGAATTAACAGATGGAAACCCTCCCTGTGATGTGTTCAGGTTCCAGGTGAATTAACAGATGGAAACCCTCCCTGTGATGTGTTCAGGCTCCAGGTGAATTAACAGATGGAAACCCTGTGTTGTGTTCATGTTCCAGGTGAATTAACAGATGGAAACCCTGTGATGTGTTCAGGTTCCAGGTGAATTAACAGATGGAAACCCTGTGATGTGTTCAGGTTCCAGGTGAATTAACAGATGGAAACCCTCCCTGTGATGTGTTCAGGCTCCAGGTGAATTAACAGATGGAAACCCTGTGATGTGTTCAGGCTCCAGGTGAATTAACAGATGGAGACCCTGTGATGTGTTCAGGTTCCAGGTGAATTAACAGAAGGAAACCCTGTGATGTGTTCAGGTTCCAGGTGAATTAACAGATGGAAACCCTGTGATGTGTTCAGGCTCCAGGTGAATTAACAGATGGAGACCCTGTGATGTGTTCAGGTTCCAGGTGAATTAACAGAAGGAAACCCTGTGATGTGTTCAGGTTCCAGGTGAATTAACAGAAGGAAACCCTGTGATGTGTTCAGGTTCCAGGTGAATTAACAGATGGAAACCCTCCCTGTGATGTGTTCAGGCTCCAGGTGAACAGTTGGACAGGTAGATGCTCACCTGTCGGGGCTGAAGGCCAGCAGGAAGGTCGAGCGGGGGCTGTCCGGCAGCTCCACTTTCTGTCAGAAACACAGAGCATTTCAAACTCAGTTAAAGTCACGTTTTGTTCCAGACAAACAGACAAACAGACAGACAAACAAACAAACAAACAGACAAACAAACAAACAAACAAACAGACAAACAAACAAACAAACAAACAGAGGAAGTAAACGATTCAGGACGGACAGACGTGCAATAGATGCTGTGTGTCAATTAAAAAGATAATACATTTACAACATAGGTGGTCCAGATGCTGGAGAATGCATGAGTCATGTTACGAACTGAAGACCCTGTAGACACCTGACCCCCCCAGTGAATGAAGACCCTGTACACACCTGACCCCCCCAGTGAATGAAGACCCTGTACACACCTGACCCCCCAGTGAATGAAGACCCTGTACACACCTGACCCCCCCAGTGAATGGAGACCCTGTACCCACCTGACCCCCCAGTGAATGGAGACCCTGTACCCACCTGACCCCCCCAGTGAATGGAGACCCTGTACACACCTGACCCCCCAGTGAATGGAGACCCTGTACCCACCTGACCCCCCAGTGAATGGAGACCCTGTACCCACCTGACCCCCCCAGTGAATGGAGACCCTGTACCCACATGACCCCCCAGTGAATGGAGACCCGGTACACACCTGACCCCCCCAGTGAATGGAGACCCTGTACCCACCTGACCCCCCCAGTGAATGGAGACCCTGTACCCACCTGACCCCCCAGTGAATGGAGACCCTGTACCCACCTGACCCCCCCAGTGAATGGAGACCCTGTACACACCTGACCCCCCCAGTGAATGGAGACCCTGTACCCACCTGAACCCCAGTGAATGGAGACCCTGTACCCACCTGACCCCCCCAGTGAATGGAGACCCTGTACCCACATGACCCCCCCAGTGAATGGAGACCCTGTACACACCTGACCCCCCCAGTGAATGGAGACCCTGTACCCACCTGACCCCCCAGTGAATGGAGACCCTGTACACACCTGGCCCCCCCAGTGAATGGAGACCCTGTACCCACCTGACCCCCCAGTGAATGGAGACCCTGTACACACCTGACCCCCCCAGTGAATGGAGACCCTGTACCCACCTGACCCCCCAGTGAATGGAGACCCTGTACCCACCTGACCCCCCAGTGAATGGAGACCCTGTACCCAGCTGACCCCCCAGTGAATGGAGACCCTGTACCCACCTGACTCTGCCACTTCATCCAGCGAACCTTCTCCTCCACCACCAGCTGCAGCAGCCTCTGGGAGCTCAGAGACTGGGAGCCTCTCTCCCGGCTGCACAGGATCCGCACAGAGCTCCTCTGACGGGACGCCATGATGCTACAGGGCCTCGTCTGATTGGCTGCTCACTCCCACCGCCACCAGAACCTCGCCATGCAGAGTCTAGGCTGAGAGGGAGGGAGAGAGAGGGGGGTGTTAAAGGTCTCCTATCATGCTATGTATAGGCATATTACAGGTCTCAGATATATACAAATATATAAAAAACATGTCTCTGAAGTGTTTAAGTGTTTTTGAGCTAAATGCTGCCGTGACTAAAGTCCATATCATGTTCCAAACCACATGAAGGATTCTCTCTGAAACTCCATATCATGTTCCAAACCACATGAAGGATTCTCTCTGAAACAGTATGGAGCTCAAACTCTTTCTCTCTCTCAGGTTTACCACAAGGTGACTTCCTTTTGATTTCCTGCTTCTTCACACATGCTCTCTCCAGTACAGGTTAGCTCTGAGTGTTAGCATGCTAATGTAAACACAGACCGTATTACTTCCAGAACACGTCTCATTGTTTCTGACAGCAACGTTTCTGATTGGCCCGTGGGTGTAAAGCCCGCCCACATTTTAGTAATGTGGTCATGACGCAGCAAATCTGGATCAGCTCCGTTGATCGCCCGTTTTTAGAGATGTGGGTACGGAGGAAAAGAGAGAGGGGTTTATTTCTGACACTTTGAGAGTCTCCTGACACACCGGGGACACACGGGGGACACACCGGGGACACACCGGGGGCACATGGTGATGTAGAGAAGACCTCACTTAGTGAGTCTCCTGACACACCGGGGACACATGGTGATGTAGAGAAGACATCACTTAGAGAGTCTCCTGACACACCGGGGACACATGGTGATGTAGAGAAGACATCACTTAGTGAGTCTCCTGACACACCGGGGACACATAGTGATGTAGAGAAGACATCACTTAGTGAGTCTCCTGACACACCGGGGACACATAGTGATGTAGAGAAGACATCACTTAGTGAGTCTCCTGACACACCGGGGACACATGGTGATGTAGAGAAGACATCACTTAGTGAGTCTCCTGACACACCGGGGACACATGGTGATGTAGAGAAGACATCACTTTGAGAGTCTCCTGACACACCGGGGACACATAGTGATGTAGAGAAGACATCACTTTGTGAGTCTCCTGACACACCGGGGACACATGGTGATGTAGAGAAGACATCACTTAGTGAGTCTCCTGACACACCGGGGACACATGGTGATGTAGAGGAGACATCACTTTGAGAGTCTCCTGACACACCGGGGACACATGGTGATGTAGAGAAGACATCACTTAGTGAGTCTCCTGACACACCGGGGACACATGGTGATGTAGAGAAGACATCACTTTGAGAGTCTCCTGACACACCGGGGACACATGGTGATGTAGAGAAGACATCACTTAGTGAGTCTCCTGACACACCGGGGACACATGGTGATGTAGAGAAGACATCACTTAGAGAGTCTCCTGACGCACCGGGGACACATGGTGATGTAGAGAAGACATCACTTATACCCCTTTCACACCGGTGCTTTTCCAGCTCCTGCTGGGAGCCTGAGCCTGAAAAGCGCCGGTTTTTCCTGTTCACACCGCAGCGGCGGCGCGTCATAGCTCCGGAATGCGGTTCACTTCCAGCTCCAAAAAATTGTCGGTCCAGAGGCAAGAGCTTCGGAGCTATGACGCGGCGTCGCTTACGTCTCTTACGTCGAGGCGTGCAGGAAACCTTACTTTGACCATCCGTTCGCTGTTATTGATCATTGTGGAGATACATGGGCTATACAGGTTGTCATGTCCGACTATCACAAGTAGAATCATAATGAAAAATACGCCGGTAAAATGTGCCTATAGAAAACGGCTTAGCAAGTAGTCAGTTTAGCTTCGGTTGCTATGCTAACATCACCCATGTTATACCAGAGAAACTTTCATAACAGCGTTGTGATGCCAAACAGCGTCAATTCAGACTGACACACATTCACTTAAGGGGAACTGGGGATATGTATCAGCTGCTTGTGTGACAGTCAGACAGTGAATACTTTAGAGCCGTGTGAGCTAACCCGGAGCTAACGGGAGAATACACTCCCGTGGAAGAGCAGCCACTGCAGCGGTCGGTAAATGAAACACATTAATAAACAATGAACCACGGCACTCTGGAGAAAAGTATAAGGTTGGAGAAGTCGTTATTTAATTTAATCTGGCTTCGTATGATTAAAAGCAACACGACCCGATGCAGTCCCCGGCCCGTTGTTGTTGTGGGAGAAAATCAGCGACGTAAACTGTGACGTCATGACGCAGCAGCGGCAGCTCTGGGCAGTGTGAACAGAGCGGGAGCTGAAAAGGGAAACGGGAGCTGAACCAGAAAAGCTCTCGCGAGGAGCTAGAAAGTGAAAAGCGCCGGTGTGAAAGCCGCATGTGTGAGTCTCCTGACACACCGGGGACACATGGTGATGTAGAGGAGACATCACTATGTGAGTCTCCTGACACACGGGGACACATGGTGATGTAGAGAAGACATCACTATGAGAGTCTCCTGACACACCGGGGACACATGGTGATGTAGAGAAGACATCACTTTGTGAGTCTCCTGACACACCGGGGACACATGGTGATGTAGAGAAGACATCACTTTGAGAGTCTCCTGACACACCGGGGACACATGGTGATGTAGAGAAGACATCACTTTGAGAGTCTCCTGACACACCGGGGACACATGGTGATGTAGAGAAGACATCACTTAGTGAGTCTCCTGACACACCGGGGACACATGGTGATGTAGAGAAGACATCACTTAGTGAGTCTCCTGACACACCGGGGACACATGGTGATGTAGAGAAGACATCACTTAGTGAGTCTCCTGACACACCGGGGACACACCGGGGACACACAGTGATGTAGAGAAGACCTCACTTTGTGAGTCTCCTGACACACCGGGGACACATGGTGATGTAGAGAAGACATCACTTAGTGAGTCTCCTGACACACCGGGGACACATAGTGATGTAGAGAAGACCTCACTTTGTGAGTCTCCTGACACACCGGGGACACATAGTGATGTAGAGAAGACCTCACTTTGTGAGTCTCCTGACACACCGGGGACACATAGTGATGTAGAGAAGACCTCACTTTGTGAGTCTCCTGACACACCGGGGACACACCGGGGACACACAGTGATGTAGAGAAGACCTCACTTTGTGAGTCTCCTGACACACCGGGGACACATGGTGATGTAGAGAAGACATCACTTAGTGAGTCTCCTGACACACCGGGGACACATGGTGATGTAGAGAAGACATCACTTAGAGAGTCTCCTGACACACCGGGGACACATGGTGATGTAGAGAAGACATCACTTAGTGAGTCTCCTGACACACCGGGGACACATGGTGATGTAGAGAAGACATCACTTAGTGAGTCTCCTGACACACCGGGGACACATGGTGATGTAGAGAAGACATCACTTATGCGGCTTTCACACCAGCGCTTTTCCCTTTCTAGCTCCTAGCGAGAGCTTTTCTGGTTCAGCTCCGGTTTCCCTTTTCAGCTCCCGCTCTGTTCACACCGCCCAGAGCTGCCGAGAGATTTTCTCCCACAACAACAACGGGCCGGGGATTGCGTCGGGTCGACGATCGTGTTGCTTTTAATCATACGAAGCCAGATTAAATTAAATAACGACTTCTCCAACCTTATACTTTTCTCCAGAGTGCCGTGGTTCATTGTTTATTAATGTGTTTCAGCGGCATTTACCGACCGCTGCAGTGCTGACTGCTCTTCCACGGGAGTTTATTCTCCCGTTAGCTCCGGGTTAGCTCACACGGCTCTAAAGTATTCACTGTCTGACTGTCACACAAGCAGCTGTTACATATCCCCAGTTCCCCTTAAGTGAATGTGTGTCAGTCTGAATTGACGCTGTTTGGCATCACAACGTTGTTATGAAAGTTTCTCTGGTATAACATGGGTGATGTTAGCATAGCAACCGAAGCTAAACTGACTACTTGCTAAGCCGTTTTCTACAGGAACATTTTACCGGCGTATTTTTCATTATGATTCTACTTGTGATAGTCGGACATGACAACCTGTGCAGCCCATGTATTGATTCCATCCGATAGCTGCTATAATAACAAACAAAACGTCTGCCTGCTCTCCACAATGATCAATAACAGCGAACGGATGGTCAAAGTAAGGTTTCCTGCACGCCTCGACGTAAGCGACGCCGCGTCATAGCTCCAAAGCTCCAAAGCTCTTGCCTCTGGACCGACAACTTTTTGGAGCTGGAAGTGAACCGCATTCCGGAGCTATGACGCGCCGCCGCTGCGGTGTGAACAGGAAAAACCGGCGCTTTTCAGGCTCTAGCTCCCAGCAGGAGCTGGAAAAGCGCCGGTGTGAAAGGGGCATGTGTGAGTCTCCTGACACACCGGGGACACATGGTGATGTAGAGAAGACATCACTTAGAGAGTCTCCTGACACACCGGGGACACATGGTGATGTAGAGAAGACATCACTTAGAGAGTCTCCTGACACACCGGGGACACATGGTGATGTAGAGAAGACATCACTTAGAGAGTCTCCTGACACACCGGGGACACATGGTGATGTAGAGAAGATACTTTCCCCACAAAGGTTCATGAGAACTCTTTAGTTCTGATGAACTAAATACAGATCGCGTTCACACCGGAATAAGTTCCCTGAGGGAGGATTAGGCAAATGAAGCCGCTGACGTCACTTCTTCTTCTTCTGCTTTGGGTTTACTGGCAGGCCGCAAACAACTTCACGGCGTATACTGCCACCCGGAGTCCCCGGACGGAAGTCCCCGGAGTTGGGGAAGGCTTCAGTAGAAGCTGCTGGGACTCAGTAGAAGCTGCTGGGACTCCCTGCAGCTTCTACTCTGATGAACTAATTGTATTGCCGGCTCTCTTGGGTGTGAACGCTCCTATTGAGTGCATTCTGCATGATAGGAGACCTTTAACACAGAGCTACACGTGTCCCTGTGTCCCTGACGGCAGCATCTCTCTGGACCAATGGGATTCCTCCGTGTGAGTTTGGATTTATGTCAGAAAATAATCTCTGAGTCAAACAAACGTTTCTGATTCGAACGCGTTTAGTTCAGCGGGATCATCTCCACGTATTAAAGATATTTCCACACTGCGGTCTGCTTCCAGCTTTCAGGGTCATTTCAGATGTTAGTTGTAAAATGATATTTATATTGACAAAGGTACAAGTATTTATATTTGAATATCTGTATTGGATGTGTTTTCTCTGTTAGTTTGAAGGCATTGAGATGTTTCAGTGTGTGTCCCTGCAGATGGACGTAGCATCTCTTCTCCTTCAGAGATCAATGGAGCTGTATGCACGGTCCTTGTTCAATAAGGATGTGTATTCATAATAATAACCAGGGGGCTTTCTAGAGAGATATAGTGAGAGTCCTGTGTCTCTGATCTTGTTTATACGATATATCAACGAGAACATGACGCCCGTAAACAAGATGTCTGCTTACGTAAACAACAACGTGACGTAAACAACAACGTGACGTCAGAGCTCCGTCTGACGCTCTGTTTGATGCTCAGATTTCTGGAGTCATTAAACCGTTTCTGAGGAACAGAAATAAAATGTGCACTTTGTTGTGAGGGCGCAGAGACCCTGTTACCCGGTGCTGGAGAAGTACAAGGTAGCAGAACATGGAAATACTCAAGTCAAGTACCTCAACATTGTACTTGAGTAAATGTACGTAGTTACTTTACACCACTGCTTCCATGTGTGTTTATGAAGCTCCACATGTATCACCGTGCCATCTGAACGGCAGGAGGCACACAACAACACATCTTATTTATGATATGTTAAGATGTGTACTACTTGCTGCTGATTGGTTTCACCTGTGACATCACACTGTGACATCACACTGTGCAACACACTGTGACATCACCTGTGACATCACACTGTGACATCACACTGTGACATCACACTGTGCAACACACTGTGACATCACACTGTGCAACACACTGTGACATCACACTGTGACATCACACTGTGACATCACACTGTGCAACACACTGTGACATCACACTGTGACATCACACTGTGCAACACACTGTGCAACACACTGTGACATCACACTGTGACATCACACTGTGACATCACACTGTGCAACACACTGTGACATCACACTGTGCAACACACTGTGACATCACACTGTGACATCACACTGTGCAACACACTGTGACATCACACTGTGACATCACACTGTGACATCACACTGTGTATGCTAGTAATGATGGGGTTTCAAACTGTCGTCGTGCAGACTATCTCTTCCAGATTCAAAGGCTCAGAGGCACAGCAGGGGGTCCAGACTGCCCTGCACAGAAAGGGCTGGACTAGAGCTGAGGTGTATTGACCTATAGGTTAAGCAGTGATTCTCAAATGGGGGTACGTTGGGGTACTGCAGGGGGTCCGTGAGATAACAAAAAAAAAGGTTAAACCTACCTACCTATCTACCTCTCTCTCTCTATCTATCTATCATCCATCTATCTATCTCTCTCTCCATCTCTCTCTCTATCTATCTATCTATCTATCTCTCTATCCATCCCTCTATCCATCCATCCATCCATCTCTCTCTCTATCCATCCATCCATCCATCCATCCATCCATCTCCTCTCTCTCCATCCATCCATCCATCCATCCTCCATCCATCCTCCCTCTCCTATCCACCTCCACCATCCATCATCTCTCTATCACATCCTCCATCCATCTCCGCTCTCCTCTCCTCTCTCCACCATCCATGCCATCCACCACTCCTCCTCTCATCCATCATCCATCCATCCATCCATCTCTCTCTCTCTCTCTCTCTATCCATCCATCCCTCTCTCTCTCTCTATCCATCCATCCTCCTCTCTCTCTCTCTCTCTCTCTCTCTATCCATCCATCTCTCTCTCTCTCTCTCTATCCATCCATCTCTCTCTCTCTCTCTCTATCCATCCATCAATCCATCTCTCTCTCCATCCCTCCATCTCCAGGTTAATAACATGTATGAAGATGATGGTGGGCTGTAATGGCTTCATGTTAGTATGTGTGATCAGCTGGGACTGACAGATGAGTAAAATAAGACCCTCTTCCTCCTCCCCATCAGGGGATACATAACACTGCTTAAAGAGAACATCACATGTTTCATAATAACTGGTATTAATGGAATAAACTCATGAATAAAACCAGTAGAATGAGTCTCTTTGCTGCAATGTAACCTCTGTGGGACTAAGAGAGGAATACTATCATAATATATATACATGTAATACTCATTACTACATCATAATACTAACTAATACAGGAGGTTTCAAGCCCTTCATGTGGGACTAGCTCATAATAAGTAATAACAGAGTAATGTATATATATATATATAAATATCAAGATGCTAACCACGAAGCTAACTTAGCCTTTTCCGGACACAGACACCAAACCGAGCAGCAAAATGTACATTTGTTTGTGTTGTATTCAAAGCTATTGGTGTTAGGGTTGAACCACAAACGCGTTATTAACGTTTGACCTCAACCATGGTTAATAATAATTATTATTATAATGTAATAAAGAAAGCTGCGGCCTACCTTCCTGAAACATCGCGATGCTAACAGGCTAACGGCTGCTAACGGCTACAGATTTGTGGCCGAAATTAAAGCTCCTTTCGACGCAAACATCGAAGATCTGCGTGGATTCTGGAGAACGGAGTCCACTGGAAGAGGCTTAATGTACAAGGGAGGCGAAGAAAATGGGTTTTCTAAGGCATTTGGTCCAATGTTTCTCTAGCTGCCCGACGGGGAAAACTGCTACTGCGACACTAGCTGCTAGTTAGCCACACGCAGGCTACTCAACAGAGCGCCGACTCATCGAACACTGCTTTCAATCAGAGATGGAGAAGTACTCAGATCTTGTACTTGAGTGAAAGTAGAAGTACACAGATCTTGTACTTTAGCAAAAGTAGAAGTACTCAGATCTTGTACTTGAGTAAAAGTACTCAGGTTGAGTACAAGTACTCCATGTACCTCTGAGCTGTAGTGGAGTAGTAGTACAAAGTAGCATAAACCTGAAATACTCAAGTAAAATACAAATACCTCAAAATGTTACTAAAGTACAGTACTTGAGTAAATGTACTTCCTGTATTTACTGATGTAATCCATTAGCCAATACTTCTTTATTAAATGATGTTGAGCTAATATCCTTTGCAGCAGGAAGATGCTACTCTGACATCGATTGGTTATCCTGGGAATACATGGTTTTAATGTGGCTGAGTGGCTCCTTTTATTATTTAATGGAAGAAATAAGAAATATATATATTTAATTAATTAAACACATGTAGATGCTCTAACAAAAGTATTAATACCACACAGACATTAATTGATGAGAAGCAAGAAGGGGAGATAACACGTTATGTTGTACAGGTTTATTGTTCCGTTTATTTAAAAACACATTTTGATTTACATTTTTAAAATAAAACATGAACAAAAAATGAAATAAATTATTTTAGAGGTTTCAAGACGAAGCATCTAAAAAAATCTATCTATAAAAACAGGCTAGTGACCATTGATCTACATGTTTAAACTATCGGACAGAACCTTCCTGTGGCTGACTGTGATGCATTCTGGGAAATGTAGTCAATAACTGAGAACACATAGACGAGAAAGTTTAACAATCATTTTAATTAAGATTACGTGATGTTTAAGAGAGATAGAAGGAAACATGCATACACACACACACACACACACACACACACACACACACAAACACACACTCACACACACAGACACACACACACACACACACACACACACACACACACACACACAACACACACAACACACACACACAACACACACAAACACAGACACACACACACACACACACACACTCACACACACACACACACACACACACACACACACTCACACACACACACAAACACACACACACACACACTCACACACACACACACACACTCACAGACACACACACACACACACCACACACTCACACTCACACACACACACACACACACACACACTCACACACAGACAGACACACACACACACACTCACACACACACACACACACACACACACTCACACACACACACACACACACACACACACACACACACACACACACTCACACACAGACAGACACACACACACACACACACACACTCACACACACACACACACACACACACACACACACACACTCACACACACACACACACACACACACACACACACACACACACACACTCAGAAGTTCTCTTTGTAGAAGTTGAAGGCGAAGCGTTCACACTGAGCTTTGATGAGTTTAGCGAGAGCCGGAGAGCCGCAGTAAAACACGTGGACCTTCCCTTTGTTCTCCTCCGATATCTTCTGGAACACCTGAACACACACACACACACACACACACACACACACACACACACACACACACACACACACACACACACACACACACACACACACACACACACATGGATGAATGAGTGATTAAACATCGTTCAGCTATAACTTCAGTACGGGTTATTTGAATTGAACGCGTGATGAACCTCTAGATCAGTGTTTCTCAAACGTCTTCACACCAAGGACCTCTTAACCAATACAATGAGATTTAAAATGCTCAGGTTTTACACCTCATATGAAATGTAGACTATATTTATTACGGAGTCTATGTCCAACAGACTCTCAGATAGTTTTACTGAGAGAAATGCAAAACACACCGGATGTATTACAAACTCCGCTGTGGATTTTCAAAATAAAATCCAGTAAAACTATGCAGGCCCAAGTTTAACATGAAACCCTTTGAATTTATTATTTAATTATTTCAAATGTGAAATTTTACCAATATCCTCTCGGACCACTAGGGGTCGCTCACGGGCACTTTGAGAAACCCTGCTCTAGCGACTGTTCATTGGGAGTGTTGTCGCTCCAGAAACCCGACAGTCTGTTACGTGTCTTTGCTCTCCTGTTGAACACGTGTGCTTTATGTCTTAATTAGGGCTGTCAAGTTAACGCGTTAATAACGCGTTAACGCAAAAAAAAATTAACGGCACTAATTATTTTAACGCGATTAACGCATGTGTATTTTTTGTCCTCGGCCGCCCCGTAGTTTCAGAGCGCATCGAGTTTAAAATACCATCTACAAGCTGATGCTGACAGCCCCGCTCCTGCCGCCCGCTTGTGGCAGACCACACTTCCACGCTCACCGGCAGGCCATCGGGAGGACCGGGAGGGTGTGTGTATGTGTGGCACGACTCGCGCGAGCGAGGCACACCTTACGTGTTGTTGTTGTTAGCATCTGGTGCTAGCTAGCTGCGCTAACGGATATAAGGAGCTGTTTCAATGACATTTCGCCGACAACTGCGCCGAGCACTTGACTTTATGCAGGTAGCCAGACAGTGGGACATTGTACGAAAAGTCAGCACACTCAGCACGGATAGTACGCGCGACATGATTGCAGCATCCAGGCAGCTCCCGTTGGAGCATATATGCCTTGAGCTGCACACACACACACACACACACACACACACACACACACACACACACACACACACACACACACACACACACACACACACACACACACACACACACACACACACACACACACACACACACACACACACACACAGTATTATTGTATGAGAGGTTCCAGGTTGAATTGAGGCGAATATTTGTAATGTTCAGGTTGTTGTGTTTAATATTCATGAGAATATTTGTCATTGTTCAAATGATAATAAACAAACATATAAAGCATATTTGTCCACTCATATGTTGATAAGAGTATAAAAAACTTGAAAGATATCCCTCTAAGGTACATTTAGAACAGATAAAAAATGTGCGATTAATTTGCGATTAATCGCGATTAACTATTTTAATCGACTGACAGCCCTAGTCTTAATGTGTGCATACGTATACATGTGTCTGTTGATTGTGTATATATAGGCACTGTTCGAAATGGGGGGGAGCCAGGGGGAGCTTGGCTCCCCCGAAGAGGGAGGGAGCTCCCCTGAAGGCCGACTTTGAGATAAATAGGGGGAGCCCAAAACAATCGTGCATATTTGTGTCACACAGATTAGAAATGTTGAGTTTCTGTAAATAACAGTTCTTGAAATAAATAATAGTTATTGTTCATTACAGTTTCTGAATATTTGTTTTATATTTGTGAATATTTCTGGGTGTTGGCATCTGTACGTGGCAGCACTGCATTCTTTACGCTACTTACGTTGCTATGGTTACGGTGGCGATGCCGGCGCGGTATTTGAAATGTTCATATTGACATATTTTTTAACTCTGGCTTTGTAATAAAAAATATGGCAAAACGAAAACAGCCAAGCCTCGCAGCTTTTGTATTCACAAGCAAAGAAGCGAAGGAGTCTAAAAATGACAACGTGAATGGAACAACTTTTATTTGGCCGGCTGTAAGCGGCGTTAGGGTCGAGTTTGACAGCTCCACCCCGAGGGAGAGGCCTGCCGATGCAGAGCCTGAAGAGGCTTCAACAACGGCCACAGCCGCCGGCGTAGTGACACCGTCTGTAGTGACACCGTCTGTAGTGACACCGTCTGTAGTGACACCGTCTGTCTGTAGTGACACCGTCTGTAGTGACACCGCCTGTAGTGACACCGTCTGTAGTAGCAGAGTGATTTTATAGCAATTGATCGAATCCGCACTGCTGAGCCTGCGCCAGTCAACAGAGCGTGCGTGTGACATATTTAGTAGCAGGATGTGCACTGAAAAATAGGGCTCCCCCGAAAGCAAATGGGTAATTCGAACACTGTATATAGGTATATATAGAGGTGGGAAGTAGTGGAGTACAAATACTGCGTTACTGTACTTAAGTACATGTTTCTGGTATCAGTACTTTACTCCACGACTTTTTACTTTGACTTCTTACATGTTGAACACAAATACCTGTACTTTCTACTTCTTACATGTTGAACACAAATACCTGTACTTTCTACTTCTTACATGTTGAACCCAAATACCTGTACTTTCTACTTCTTACATGTTGAACCCAAATACCTGTACTTTCTACTTCTTACATGTTGAACCCAAATACCTGTACTTTCTACTTCTTACATGTTGAACCCAAATACCTGTACTTTCTACTTCTTACATGTTGAACACAATACCTGTACTTTCTACTTCTTACATGTTGAACACAAATACCTGTACTTTCTACTTCTTACATGTTGAACACAAATACCTGTACTTTCTACTTCTTACATGTTGAACACAAATACCTGTACTTTCTACTTCTTACATGTTGAACCCAAATACCTGTACTTTCTACTTCTTACATGTTGAACCCAAATACCTGTACTTTCTACTTCTTACATGTTGAACACAAATACCTGTACTTTCTACTTCTTACATGTTGAACACAAATACCTGTACTTTCTACTTCTTACATGTTGAACCCAAATACCTGTACTTTCTACTTCTTACATGTTGAACCCAAATACCTGTACTTTCTACTTCTTACATGTTGAACACAAATACCTGTACTTTCTACTTCTTACATGTTGAACCCAAATACCTGTACTTTCTACTTCTTACATGTTGAACACAAATACCTGTACTTTCTACTTCTTACATGTTGAACCCAAATACCTGTACTTTCTACTTCTTACATGTTGAACCCAAATACCTGTACTTTCTACTTCTTACATGTTGAACCCAAATACCTGTACTTTCTACTTCTTACATGTTGAACCCAAATACCTGTACTTTCTACTTCTTACATGTTGAACACAAATACCTGTACTTTCTACTTCTTACATGTTGAACCCAAATACCTGTACTTTCTACTTCTCACATGTTGAACACAAATACCTGTACTTTCTACTTCTTACATGTTGAACACAAATACCTGTACTTCGCGTCGGGCCGAACCACACCCCTTAACTGTGATATAATGGCCATATACTACGGCCTGTCGTGAGCTATTGCTTAAATATAAAACAAATATTCAGAAACTGTAATGAACAATAACTATTATTTATTTCAAGAACTGTTATTTACAGAAACTCAACATTTCTAATCTGTGTGACACAAATATGCACGATTGTTTTGGGCTCCCCCTATTTATCTCAAAGTCGGCCTTCAGGGGAGCTCCCCCCCTCTTTAGGGGAGCCAAGCTCCCCCTGGCTCCCCCCCATTTCGAACACTGGTTGTTCAGCATGGAAACATTCATTAGCTAACAATGACATTATTGTTCTATTCATATAAAGGGAGGTCAGGTACTCTTTAAAACAGCTGCTAGTTATGGGTACTTTTTACTGAAGTACATTTCAAAGCCCTCTTTACTTTGACTTGAGTAAAGAAGTTTAGTCAGTACTTCTACTTTCACCAGAGTATCTTTAAACACGAGTCTCTGTACTTCTACTTGAGTAAAGGATGTGTGTACTTCTACCTGAGTAAAGGATGTGTGTACTTCTGCTTGAGTAAAGGATGTGTGTACTTCTACTGAGTAAAGGATGTGTGTACTTCTACTTGAGTAAAGGATGTGTGTACTTCTACTTGAGTAAAGGATGTGTGTACTTCTACTTGAGTAAAGGATGTGTGTACTTCTACTTGAGTAAAGGATGTGTGTACTTCTACTTGAGTAAAGGATGTGTGTACTTCTACTTGAGTAAAGGATGTGTGTACTTCTACTTGAGTACAGGATGTGTGTACTTCTACTTGAGTAAAGGATGTGTGTACTTCTACTTGAGTAAAGGATGTGTGTACTTCTACTTGAGTAAAGGATGTGTGTACTTCTACTTGAGTAAAGGATGTGTGTACTTCTACTTGAGTAAAGGATGTGTGTACTTCTACTTGAGTAAAGGATGTGTGTACTTCTACTTGAGTAAAGGATGTGTGTACTTCTACTTGAGTAAAGGATGTGTGTACTTCTACTTGAGTAAAGGATGTGTGTACTTCTAGTTGAGTAAAGGATGTGTGTACTTCTACTTGAGTACAGGATGTGTGTACTTCTACTTGAGTAAAGGATGTGTGTACTTCTACTTGAGTAAAGGATGTGTGTACTTTTGATATCTCTGGATTGTGGAAAACGGCACTTCGATCTCTCTGTCCACACAAACTGAAGGATTGTCCTCTGACTCTGGAGGCTCACCTTGGCCCACTCGGGGCGTCCCGGCTGGGTTCTGGTCCTCAGGCCCGTGATGGAGTCCCTCTTCTCCTTCTTGGCCAGCAGGTCCAGCGCCATCTGCAGCCCGATGGCCTTCATGTCGTTCTTACTGAGCGCCGACGTCATGTACATGTGCATCTCCAGGAAGCGGCCTGAGGGACGGGGGTTTGATTAAAGTCCCTGATTATCCTCTTTATCACCAATATATAACATGTCTCTGACTCGAAGACCCTTAAAGGACCCTTAAAGGACCCCTATTATCCTCTTTATCACCAATATATAACATGTCTCTGACTCGAAGACCCTTAAAGGACCCTTAAAGGACCCTTAAAGGACCCCTATTATCCTCTTTATCACCAATATATAACATGTCTCTGACTCAAGGACCCTTAAAGGACCCTTAAAGGACCCCTATTATACTCTTTATCACCAATATATAACATGTCTCTGACTCAAGGACCCTTAAAGGACCCTTAAAGGACCCCTATTACACTCTTTATCACCAATATATAACATGTCTCTGACTCAAAGACCCTTAAAGGACCCTTAAAGGACCCTTAAAGGACCCCTATTATCCTCTTTATCACCAATATATAACATGTCTCTGACTCAAGGACCCTTAAAGGACCCTTAAAGGACCCCTATTATACTCTTTATCACCAATATATAACATGTCTCTGACTCAAGGACCCTTAAAGGACCCTTAAAGGACCCCTATTACACTCTTTATCACCAATATATAACATGTCTCTGACTCAAGGACCCTTAAAGGACCCTTAAAGGACCCCTATTATACTCTTTATCACCAATATATAACATGTCTCTGACTCAAAGACCCTTAAAGGACCCTTAAAGGACCCTTAAAGGACCCCTATTATACTCTTTATCACCAATATATAACATGTCTCTGACTCAAGGACCCTTAAAGGACCCTTAAAGGACCCCTATTATACTCTTTATCACCAATATATAACATGTCTCTGACTCAAGGACCCTTAAAGGACCCTTAAAGGACCCCTATTATACTCTTTATCACCAATATATAACATGTCTCTGACTCAAGGACCCTTAAAGGACCCTTAAAGGACCCCTATTATACTCTTTATCACCAATATATAACATGTCTCTGACTCAAGGACCCTTAAAGGACCCTTAAAGGACCCCTATTACACTCTTTATCACCAATATATAACATGTCTCTGACTCAAGGACCCTTAAAGGACCCTTAAAGGACCCCTATTATACTCTTTATCACCAATATATAACATGTCTCTGACTCAAAGACCCTTAAAGGACCCTTAAAGGACCCTTAAAGGACCCCTATTATACTCTTTATCACCAATATATAACATGTCTCTGACTCGAAGACCCTTAAAGGACCCTTAAAGGACCCTTAAAGGACCCCTATTATCCCCTTTATCACCAATATATAACATGTCTCTGACTCAAAGACCCTTAAAGGACCCTTAAAGGACCCCTATTATCCTCTTTATCACCAATATATAACATGTCTCTGACTCAAGGACCCTTAAAGGACCCTTAAAGGACCCCTATTATACTCTTTATCACCAATATATAACATGTCTCTGACTCAAGGACCCTTAAAGGACCCTTAAAGGACCCCTATTACACTCTTTATCACCAATATATAACATGTCTCTGACTCAAAGACCCTTAAAGGACCCCTATTACACTCTTTATCACCAATATATAACATGTCTCTGACTCAAGGACCCTTAAAGGACCCTTAAAGGACCCCTATTATACTCTTTATCACCAATATATAACATGTCTCTGACTCAAGGACCCTTAAAGGACCCTTAAAGGACCCTTAAAGGACCCCTATTACACTCTTTATCACCAATATATAACATGTCTCTGACTCAAGGACCCTTAAAGGACCCTTAAAGGACCCCTATTATACTCTTTATCACCAATATATAACATGTCTCTGACTCAAGGACCCTTAAAGGACCCTTAAAGGACCCTTAAAGGACCCCTATTATACTCTATCACCAATATATAACATGTCTCTGACTCAAGGACCCTTAAAGGACCCTTAAAGGACCCCTATTATACTCTTTATCACCAATATATAACATGTCTCTGACTCAAGGACCCTTAAAGGACCCTTAAAGGACCCCTATTATACTCTTTATCACTAATATATAACATGTCTCTGACTCAAAGACCCTTAGAACACAACACGAGGGTTCAGAAGATCTCTACACGGTTCAGAGGAGCCACCAACAGTTAGTATAAGTTGCATTAATTAGCATATGCAGAGTAACAACAACACATCCCTCCAGCCATGAAAGAAATGTAGAGTAGGGTCTCCAGATCATAGAAATGTAGAGTAGGGTCTCCAGATCAAAGAAATGTAGAGTAGGGTCTCCAGATCATAGAAATGTAGAGTAGGGTCTCCAGATCATAGAAATGTAGAGTAGGGTCTCCAGATCATAGAAATGTAGAGTAGGGTCTCCAGATCATAGAAATGTTGGATGCTAACCTGCATGTGCTGGGACATTAGCACAGTTAGCATAAGGTGCTTTAATTAGCTTTATAGCTTATGCAGACATAGTTAAAACATGGCTTGGTAAGATTTGGACCGTTGTGGGGACGTTGAACCAAAATAGCACTTAATAGGGCCGTACATGTTAAAAATAGACCACAGAGAGTGCAAACATGGCCACTTTCTGTTTAAAACTACTATTTTTGATCCTGGAAATGTCATAAATGGATTCAGCCTCCTCAACAAACCACTCCAGAACCGTCCAAATCGGACTAGCCATTTTTTGACTTTTGTCCACATGCTGTAATTATGTTGCTAATAGTGTAATGTCCCAACATGCAGGTTAGCATCCTGCAGTGTCTATGAGCTGGAGACCCTACTGTCCAATGTTTATATTGGGTCACCTTCTGGCTCCTCGTCGGCCTGGTCCATCTCCATGTTGGTCAGCAAACTAACGAACCATTCGAAGGACTTCTGGTCTCGGTTGATCCAGATGAAATCCACCTGCAGGGTCCACAACACAACAGACTAGTTAACTAGTGCAGACAAATGTATGCCACTAGTTAACTAGTGAACCTTGTGCCTTTACTAGTTAACTAGTGAGTGATTCTGGGTGCTACTAGTTAACTAGTGAGCGATTCTGGGTGCTACTAGTTAACTAGTGAGCGATTCTGGGTGCTACTAGTTAACTAGTGAGTGATTCTGGGTGCTACTAGTTAACTAGTGAGCGATTCTGGGTGCTACTAGTTAACTAGTGAACCTTGTGCCTTTACTAGTTAACTAGTGAGTGATCCTGGGTGCTACTAGTTAACTAGTGAGCGATTCTGGGTGCTACTAGTTAACTAGTGAGTGATTCTGGGTGCTACTAGTTAACTAGTGAGCGATTCTGGGTGCTACTAGTTAACTAGTGAGTGATTCTGGGTGCTACTAGTTAACTAGTGAGCGATTCTGGGTGCTACTAGTTAACTAGTGAGCGATTCTGGGTGCTACTAGTTAACTAGTGAGTGATTCTGGGTGCTACTAGTTAACTAGTGAGCGATTCTGGGTGCTACTAGTTAACTAGTGAACCTTGTGCCTTTACTAGTTAACTAGTGAGTGATCCTGGGTGCTACTAGTTAACTAGTGAGCGATTCTGGGTGCTACTAGTTAACTAGTGAGCGATTCTGGGTGCTACTAGTTAACTAGTGAGTGATTCTGGGTGCTACTAGTTAACTAGTGAGCGATTCTGGGTGCTACTAGTTAACTAGTGAACCTTGTGCCTTTACTAGTTAACTAGTGAGTGATCCTGGGTGCTACTAGTTAACTAGTGAGCGATTCTGGGTGCTACTAGTTAACTAGTGAGCGATTCTGGGTGCTACTAGTTAACTAGTGAGCGATTCTGGGTGCTACTAGTTAACTAGTGAGTGATTCTGGGTGCTACTAGTTAACTAGTGAGCGATTCTGGGTGCTACTAGTTAACTAGTGAACCTTGTGCCTTTACTGGTTAACTAGTGAGTGATCCTGGGTGCTACTAGTTAACTAGTGAGCGATTCTGGGTGCTACTAGTTAACTAGTGAGTGATTCTGGGTGCTACTAGTTAACTAGTGAGCGATTCTGGGTGCTACTAGTTAACTAGTGAGTGATTCTGGGTGCTACTAGTTAACTAGTGAGCGATTCTGGGTGCTACTAGTTAACTAGTGAGCGATTCTGGCTGCTACTAGTTAACTAGTGAGTGATTCTGGGTGCTACTAGTTAACTAGTGAGCGATTCTGGGTGCTACTAGTTAACTAGTGAACCTTGTGCCTTTACTAGTTAACTAGTGAGTGATCCTGGGTGCTACTAGTTAACTAGTGAGCGATTCTGGGTGCTACTAGTTAACTAGTGAGTGATTCTGGGTGCTACTAGTTAACTAGTGAGCGATTCTGGGTGCTACTAGTTAACTAGTGAACCTTGTGCCTTTACTAGTTAACTAGTGAGTGATCCTGGGTGCTACTAGTTAACTAGTGAGCGATTCTGGGTGCTACTAGTTAACTAGTGAGCGATTCTGGGTGCTACTAGTTAACTAGTGAGCGATTCTGGGTGCTACTAGTTAACTAGTGAGCGATTCTGGGTGCTACTAGTTAACTAGTGAGTGATTCTGGGTGCTACTAGTTAACTAGTGAGTGATTCTGGGTGCTACTAGTTAACTAGTGAGCGATTCTGGGTGCTACTAGTTAACTAGTGAGTGATTCTGGGTGCTACTAGTTAACTAGTGAGCGATTCTGGGTGCTACTAGTTAACTAGTGAACCTTGTGCCTTTACTAGTTAACTAGTGAGTGATCCTGGGTGCTACTAGTTAACTAGTGAGTGATCCTGGGTGCTACTAGTTAACTAGTGAGCGATTATGGGTGCTACTAGTTAACTAGTGAACCTTGTGCCTTTACTAGTTAACTAGTGAGTGATCCTGGGTGCTACTAGTTAACTAGTGAGCGATTCTGGGTGCTACTAGTTAACTAGTGAACCTTGTGCCTTTACTAGTTAACTAGTGAGTGATCCTGGGTGCTACTAGTTAACTAGTGAGCGATTCTGGGTGCTACTAGTTAACTAGTGAGCGATTCTGGGTGCTACTAGTTAACTAGTGAGTGATTCTGGGTGCTACTAGTTAACTAGTGAGCGATTCTGGGTGCTACTAGTTAACTAGTGAGCGATTCTGGGTGCTACTAGTTAACTAGTGAGTGATTCTGGGTGCTACTAGTTAACTAGTGAGCGATTCTGGGTGCTACTAGTTAACTAGTGAGCGATTCTGGGTGCTACTAGTTAACTAGTGAGTGATTCTGGGTGCTACTAGTTAACTAGTGCAGACAAATGTATGCCACTAGTTAACTAGTTGTGCTTCTTTTGTGTAACTAGTTAACATGTCAGAGCTTTTGCAGCGCACTAGTTAACTTGTAAGACTTTCAGCGTCACTAGTACGGTCAGAGGGCCACTAGTTCATCACAAAGCTTACAAGTTGGGACTTTGGTGCTACTAGTGCTGCTCCTGGCGTCACTAGTAAGGCTTATGTGCTAACTAGTCGGACAAAAGTGCCACTAGTTGCTGAAAAAGAGTGACGAGTGTAATGTTTTATTTAACTAGTAAAGCAGAGTGCCAAACTAGTTTGACCATATATCTAACAAGTGAAATCAAAGAGCCAACTAGTGCAGGCAGCTGCCGTCTGACATCAAGGATATGGAATAAATACTCAAATGGCTTGCCATACTCTTCTGACTCTTAACTCCCCGACCCGCTGCATGTGGTTAGAGATCTTACTTTGCGTAACGTCATGTCGCTGTCCTTCATGTTCTCACACCACGAGTATTTACAGCTGGGGCAGTTCTGCTTCCTCATGCGGTATCTGCAACACACACACACACACACACACACACACACACACACACACACACACACACACACACACACACACACACACACACACACACACACACACACACACATCTTATCTTATCTTATCTTATCTTATCTTATCTTATCACAGCAGTGACCCCGTCCCGCTGATGCATGCTGGGAGATGTAGTTATGTGTGTGTGTCTGACCGGTAGTGTTCTTCATCAAATTACTTAAAGTGGACCTATCATGCTATATTTGAATGATATATTGTAGGGCCATACCTATATAAGGTATATTTATAAGTTTTCTTTTTCAAAATACCAAACAGATCATGCATTTTAGCCATGCCTCATTTCGCTCTATTTTCCTCTCCTCCAGCCAGTCTTTGCATGAGCTGCAGCTGACCACGCCCCCCTGCAAAGGAGGGGGCCGAGGCACGAGCGTCATGTCACCATGCTGTTACCATGCTGTTACCATGCTGTTACCATGCTGTTACCATGCCACGGCAGCCTCTCATTCCCCTGATAGGTGGAGAGTTGCCCATACAGGCGGAGCTGTTGACGTCAGCGCGTGTTCAAATCTGAATCAGTTTTTATCAAATCTGTTGCAACCCCGTTTTTTAGAGATTTGGGTACGGAGGAAAAGAGAGAGGGTTTTATTTTCTGACGCTGCGTGAGTTCCCCGACGCACCAGGGACACATATGTATATAAAAGATGTCACAAAGTGCATTTTGCATGATAGGTCCCCTTTAAACTACTTCCTCTGTAAAAGAAACAAATAACATGTTTTTAGTTGATCATAATCATGTTATCATCTCACCTACTTATTCTCCAGACTGAGGCTGGTGCCCCACGGGAACGAAAACGGGTTGTATCGCATACTTCTCTTGCGTATAGCCCTGTTTGCTACACGACGCCGTAACGGAACGATAGAAACGGGTCCAAAGGTGGATAGATCTGGGAACGGAGCGCTCTGGGGGGTCCAACGGGGCCGTGTGATCGCCTCTATACGATCATTTTGTGATAATGATGACGCAATAGCCCCGCCTCTCCCCACCTCTGCTGCTCACCCCCGCGTCAAAGTACACTGCACACTGAATTCAGATTATTTATCTTTCTCTCGATATGGACATAAACGCGAGTGAAGTCTAATCTGACAGGACGGAGACACGCAGCTCCTCCCGGCTGTGATGCAGCGAGAGCAAAACACACACTTCAAGTCAGATCATCACCCTTAGCTATTTTAATTACCTCTCAAACTAAACTAGTTATAAATATGTTTATTTTTACTGTCGGGTCATCATTACTGGATCAGCTGCTGCATGAGACAGACACTGACGCTGTCAGAAGAGAGGGAAAAGAGAGGCTCCGTGTATTTTATTATTATATATCATTATATCGTCGTTATTCATTTGTTTTAAAGCTTAATAAATAAAAGAAGACCTTTGACCGGCACTTTTATAATTTTGTCCAGAAGATTTAAACTTTAACACACGTTGACCGGCGAAAAACTCTGCCCGGTTCCCTCGGCCCCCACCGCGGAGAATAAACAGAAGTGCAGCCATGACAACCATTCTTCTTCGCTGCTTTTCTGGAGGAAGTTACAGCGCCACGTACAGGCTCGGCATATGTACTGCATCTTTTCCAGCGGTTGGATGTAAACGGAGCCGTCTCGTGTGAACACACACTATCCGGTGTCTATTGCGTGTGGACGGAAGCTTTTTTGCGATTGCGTTTGCGTTAATCCTATGCGTTTTGCCGTATGCGTTCCCGTGGAGCACCAGCCTTAATATTCATAGCAGCTTCTTATCTTATCTTATCATTGCAGTCACCCCGTCTCGCTGATGCATGCTGGGAGATGTAGTTCTGTGTGTTCTCACCGGTACATGATGCTCTGCAGGATGGAGGCGAAGGGTGTGATCCCGATCCCGGCCCCGATCAGAACCGCATGCTCCGAGGCGAAGATCTGCCGCGTGGGGGTCCCATAGGGTCCGTCCACATAACACTGACACACACACACACACACACACACACACAGTATTTCTTTATATTTTATTGTTTTATATCTCTTTTTGAATATTACCTTTCCATTTGGAAAATTCTGAGAAAAGTGAAAATTATGAGAAAAAGTGAAAATTATGAGAAAAAAATTAAATTCTGAGAAAGATGTAAAAATTCTGAGAAAAGTGAAAATTCGGAGTAAATTCTGTAAAAAGTGAAAATTATGAGAAAGATGTAAAAATTATGAAAAAGGTGAAAATTATGAGAAACAAATGAAAATTACGAGAAAAAGTGAATATTACGAGAAAAAGTGAAAATTATGAAAAAAGTGAAGATTATGAGAAAATTAAAAATAGAATAAAGGAATTCTGATAGTGATTCTAATAAAGATGTTAGTGATGATAACTCAGATGTGTTTGCAGACCTTGATGTTGCAGACTCGGTGATTCTCGCCCAGCTTTGCAGGAACCTGCAGGTTCAGATGGAGAGAGAACATTATCTAAGGGTGAAACTTACTTTATCACAGCATCAGAAGTATAGAGCAGATAAAAGATGAACAAAGTCAGTACACCATAAAAAAACTAAGTGGCTGTATATTAAAAACAGAGTGACCAGATAAACTAAAGAGCCGGCACTGTTGACATACTGTCAATACAGTGAAGGAAAAAATAATGTGTGAATTGCACAATTGTGTTTCAAGGATTCAAGGATTCAAGGATTCAAGGCTTTTATTGTCATTTGTACATAGCTACAGTGTAGTTATGACAATGAAAATCTGAGGTCACAGGCTCCTCCAACAGCGCAACACAATAACACAGATAATAGTGCAAGTAAATATAATATAATATAAATAGTTCTTAGTTTACGAGTCCTCTTATATCTGTTTCTTGTTTAACGCTGCTTGTATGCCTTTTCATTTGAGTTAAGTAAAACTGTGTTTTTGTGTTGCTTCCCTTTCTATAGGGCCCGGGGAATCATGGGAATACTGACCTCTCTGAGGGGAGGAGCCTCTCCTCTCTCCGCTGGCTCCAGCCTATCAGGAGGAGGCTCTGCAGGGTCTGGGGGCGGGGCTTGGGGGTCTGGGGGCGGGGTCAATCCTCTCTGACGGTACATCTTCAGCTCGATGGCCTCGTCCTCGTTAGAAGCTACACCGTTACAGTCTGTAGAGCTGAAGAACTCCTGAGGAGAGACTGCAGCTCAGAGAGGGTGTGTGTGTGTGTGTGTGTGTGTGTGTGTGTGTGTGTGTGTGTGAGTGTGGTGTGTGTTGGTGTGTGGGCGGGTGTGGTGTGTGAGAGAGTGTCGTGTGTGTGTGAGAGAGTGTTGTGTGTGGTGCGTGTGTGGAGAGAGTGGTGGTGTGTGCGTGTGTGTGGGTGTGTGGAGTGTGTGTGTGTGTGTGTGTGTGGGGTGTGAGTGTGTGTGTGTGTGTGTTGTGTGTGTGGTGTGTAGTGTGTTGTGTGTGTGTGTGTGTGTGTGGTGTGTGTGAGTTGGTGTGTTGTGGTGTGGGTGTGTGTGTTGGTGCGTGTGTGAGAGAGTGTGGTGTGTGCTGTGTTGTGGAGTGTGTGTCGTGAGAGTAGTGTGTGTTTGTGGTGAGAGAGCTGATGTGGTGTGTGCGTGTGTGAGAGAGTGTGTGTGTGCGTGTGTGTGTGTGTGTGTGTGTGTGTGTTTCTCTGTGTGTGAGTGTGTGTGTGTGTGTGTGTGTGCGTGTGTGAGGAGTGTGTGTGTGTGTGTGTGTGTGTGTGTGTGTGTAGGAGTGTGTGTGTGTGTGTGAGAGAGTGTGTGTGTGTGCGTGTGTGAGAGAGTGTGTGTGTGCGTGTGTGTGTGTGTGTGTGTGTGTGTGTGTGTCTCTGTGTGTGTGTGTGTGTGTGTGTGTGTGTGTGTGTGTGTGCACCTCCGCTCCCCTGCGCCTCCTCAGACTGGCGCTCAGTCTCTTGGGCTCCAGCTGCTCCTCCTGGGTTCTGAAGAACTCGTACAGGCGGTTGGTCCATTGACCCATGGAGCGGATGTGAAGCCACAGACTGTCTGCAGGTCAACGGTCACAGAGTCAGTCCAATGGGATTTCGCTAAGCTAAAGGAGGCTAATGTTGGGCTATAAAGGAACTACAGCACGGTCACATGACTTCACGTCACCACCGCTAAGCTAAAGGAGGCTAATGTTGGGCTATAAAGGAACTACAGCACGGTCACATGACTTCACGTCACCACGCTAAGCTAAGGTGGCTAATGTTGGGCTATAAAGGAACTACAGCACGGTCACATGACTTCATGTCACCACCGCTAAGCTAAAGGTGGCTAATGTTGGGCTATAAAGGAACTACAGCACGGTCACATGACTTCATGTCACCACCGCTAAGCTAAAGGTGGCTAATGTTGGGCTATAAAGGAACTACAGCACGGTCACATGACTTCACGTCACCACCGCTAAGCTAAAGGTGGCTAATGTTGGGCTATAAAGGAACTACAGCACGGTCACATGACTTCACGTCACCACCGCTAAGCTAAAGGTGGCTAATATTGGACTATAAAGGAACTACAGCACGGTCACATGACTTCACGTCACCACCGCTAAGCTAAAGGTGGCTAATGTTGGGCTATAAAGGAAAGCACGGTCACATGACTTCACGTCACCACCGCTATGCTAAAGGCGGCTAATGTTGGGCTATAAAGGAAAGCACGGTCACATGACTTCACGTCACCACCGCTAAGCTATTTTATGTGATAAATTCCTTATGTGTGAAAAGCTAATTGGCTGTGTGTGTGTGTGTGTGTGTGTGTGTGTGTGTGTGTGTGTGTACCTGACTGCTCGGGGGGGCTGCTGATGGTGAAGGGGTGCCACTCGTACTTGGCGATGGCGGGGATGTTAATGTAGACGTAATCTCCTGGTTTGAAGTGGAAGAACTGAGGACGTTTGATCACCAGGTGAGTCACCTGCACACACATACAGTAACCAAAACATATTTTATACAAAACATGTGATATCTTAGGCAGAGATGGCAAAAGTACACACATCCTTTACTCGAGTAGAAGTACAGATACTGGTGTTTAAAGATACTCTGGTGAAAGTAGAAGTACTGACTAAACTTCTTTACTCAAGTCAAAGTAAAGAGGGCTTTGAAATGTACTTCAGTAAAAAGTACCCATACCTAGCAGCTGTTTTAAAGAGTACCTGACCTCCCTTTATATTAATAGAACAATAATGTCATTGTTAGCTAATGAATGTTTCCATGCTGAACAACGGCAACATGACAACGTTTTCATTGGTCCCTCTTCTTTAGAGAAGACCAGGAAATGATGGATACACGGATCGTGTTCAAATCAATAGGCACGCAATGACTCTAAAGAATAATGATCACGCCACCAAACACACATTCAAACTAAAGGAACCAGCCTGTTTGGGAAATGTAAGTAGTGGAGTAAAGTACTGATACCAGAACAATTTACTTAAGTACAGTACCAAAGTATTTGTGCTCCACTACTTCCCACCTCTGTATCTAGGGCAACAGGTGCAAACTCAACGCCCTGAACTCTCCATCAGGAGGAACTCTTCATTACCTTGGAGGGCAGCATGTTGACCTCCACGATGTAAAGGCCTCCCATCCGAGAGACGGCCATCCCCACGATCTTCTCCAGCACGAACATCAATCCTGGAACCACGAACCACTTCCAGAAGTTCGAACAGTGCACCATGAGCAGAGACCACACCCACACATAGGACAGGTGAGACCAGTAAAACACCTGCAGGACCACAAAACACACCACACACACACACACACACACACACACACACAACACACCACACACACACACACACACACCACACACACACACACACACACACACACACACACACACACACACACACACACACACACACACACACTGTTATTAAGGTGACCACACAGAGCTTCATTAAGTTTATTTTAATAGCAATGCATCTATATCACTGGTACTAACCTTTTCCATTAAGAAACCTCGTTAAGTTACCCATATATATGTGTGATGTTGTTGTGTTTGCAGGAAACTGAAAAACAGCATGATTTTGTCCCCAAACATCAAAAAGTTCAATTATGAAGACAGGGCTGTTGATGACAAGCTGATATAATAGAAAGCAGCATTTTATAAAAGATGTGGTTTTAATGGATACACACTTAAAGGTCACCTATTCTGCAAAATCCTCTTCTTCATGTCTTTTCTACCTCAAAATGTTTCCTCGTACCTCATAGTGTTACCTCGTACCACAAAGTGTTTCCTCGTTTTACTCGTACCTCAAAGTCTTTCCTCGTACCTCAAAATGTTTCCTCGTACCTCAAAAGGTTTCCTTGTAACTCAAAGTCTTTCCTTGTAACTCAAAGTATTTCCTTGTACCTCAAAGTCTTTCCTTGTACCTCAAAGTCTTTCCTTGTACCTCAAAATGTTTCCTCATACCTCAAAGTGTTTCCTTGTTTTCCTCGTACCTCATATCGTTTCCTCGTACCTCAGAGTCATTCCTTGTACATCAGAGTGTTTCCTTGCACCTCAAAGTGTTTCCACGTACCTCAAAGTCTTTCCTTGTTTTCCTCATACCTCATAGCGTTTCCTTGTACTTCAGAGTGTTTCCTCGTACCTCAAAGTATTTCCTCGTACCTCAAAAGTGTTTCCACGTACCTCAAAGTGTTTCCACGTACCTCAAAGTGTTTCCTTGTACCTCAGAGTGTTTCCTCGTACCTCAAAGTGTTTCCTTGCACCTCAAATTGTTTCCACGTACCTCAAAGTGTTTCCACGTACCTCAAAGTGTTACCTCGTACCTCAAAGTGTTACCTCGTACCTCAAAGTGTTTCCACGTACCTCAAAGTGTTTCCTCGTACCTCAAAGTGTTTCCACGTACCTCAAAGTGTTACCTCGCACCTCAAAGTGTTTCCTCGTACCTCACAGTGTTTCCTCGTACCTCAAAGTGTCTCCTCGTACCTCAAAGTGTTACCTCGTACCTCACAGTGTTTCCTCGTACCTCACAGTGTTTCCTCGTACCTCACAGTGTTTCCTCGTACCTCAAAGTGTCTCCTCGTACCTCAAAGTGTTACCTCGTACCTCACAGTGTTTCCTCGTACCTCAAAGTGTTTCCTCGTACCTCACAGTGTTTCCTCGTACCTCAAAGTGTCTCCTCGTACCTCAAAGTGTTTCCTCGTACCTCACAGTGTTTCCTCGTACCTCAAAGTGTCTCCTCGTACCTCACAGTGTTTCCTCGTACCTCACAGTGTTTCCTCGTACCTCACAGTGTTTCCTCGTACCTCAAAGTGTCTCCTCGTACCTCAAAGTGTTACCTCGTACCTCACAGTGTTTCCTCGTACCTCAAAGTGTTTCCTCGTTCCTCACAGTGTTTCCACGTACCTCAAAGTGTTTCCACATACCTCAAAGTGTTTCCACGTACCTCAAAGTGTTTCCACGTACCTCAAAGTGTCCGCTGCGTCGTACGAATGTGCTAGAGCAGAGCACCATGAGTCCGATGGCCACCTGCAGGACGACCCCCGTCAGAGAAGCCGCCCCCCCCCACCCAGCCGATCCCTGGGCGCGTGGTCAGCAGATATTCCCAGAGCTGGAAATCCCCGCTCTCCGACAGCTTCACTGAAACACAGCAAACCAAACTATCAAACATGACATTACATTTAGCTGAGGCTTTTATCCAAAGCGACTTACAATAAGTGCATTCGACCAACAAGATACAAACTTGAAGAAAACAGAATCATATAAGTGCATCAGGTTTCATAGAGCTAAAACATTTCAAGTGCTACTCAACTAGCTTTAGATAAGTCAGTCCTTTGTTAGTATATAAGTGCTTTGTTAGTATATAAGTGCTTTGTTAGGAATTCTATTGCTCGAAGTGGAGTGGAAAGAGATGAGTCTTCAGTCTGAAGAAGATGTGTAGGCTTTCTGCTGTCCTGATTTCAATGGGGAGCTCATTCCACCATGTTGGAGCCAGGATATCAAACCCACGTGTTTCTGCTGATGGGAACTTGGGTCCCCCTCGCAGTGCGGGTGCAGCGAGCCGTTTGGCTGATGCAGAGCGGAGTGCACGTGCTGGGGTGTACAGTTTAACCATGTCCTGGATGTAGGAAGGGCCAGATCCATTCACAGCATGGTACGCTAGTACCATTGTCTTGAAGTGGATTCTAGCAGTTACTGGAAGCCAGTGAAGTGAGCGGAGGAGCGGAGGTGTGGTGTGGGAACATTTAGGAAGGTTGAAGACCAGACGAGCCGCTGCATTCTGGATGAGCTGCAGAGGTCGGATGGCACATGCAGGTAGACCAGCCAGGAGGGAGTTGCAGTAGTCTAGGCGTGAGATGACGAGAGCCTGGACCAGAACCTGCGTGGCTTTCTGGGTCAGGAGGGGACGTATCCTCCTGATGTTGTAAAGAGTGTATCTGCAGCAGCGGGTTGGAGCAGCGATGTTTGCAGTGAAGGACAGTTTGTTATCTAGGGTCACACCCAGATTCCTTGCAGTCTGAGTCGGGGAAACAATAGAGGGGCCGATGTTGATTGTTATGTCAAGAGTGGGACAATCTTTTCCCTGAAGGAAAAGCAGTTCAGTCTTGTCAAGGTTGAGCTTGAGGTGGTGAGCAGACATCCACTGAGAGATGTCTGCTAGACAAGCAGAGATGCGTGCGACGACCTGGGTCTCTGAGCGGGGAGAGGACAGAATGAATTGGGTGTCGTCAGCGTAGCAGTGGTATGAAAAACCATGCGGGCTAATGATTGATCCGAGCGAGTTTGTGTACAAGGAGAAGAGGAGGGGACCAAGAACAGAGCCCTGAGGGACCCCTGTAGTTAATTGACAAGGGTCGGACTCGGACCCTCTCCAAGTTACCCTGTAGGTGCGGTCTTTGAGGTATGAGGTGAGGAGGGAAAGTGCAGAGCCTGAAACTCCAAGTTCTTGGAGAGTGTGAAGGAGGATCTGATGGTTCACCGTGTCGAATGCAGCAGACAGGTCCAACAGGATGATGACAGAGGAGAGGGAGGCTGCTTTAGCCGTGTGCAGTTCCTCAGAGACAGCAAGGAGGGCAGTTTCTGTGGAGTGACCTGCCTTGAAGCCAGACTGGTGCGGATCCAGAAGGTTGTTCTGATGGAGATAACAGGAGAGTTTTGGTTTGTTTCCATTACATTTAACCACTCAAGAATTGATGGAAATGTCCCTCTTAAATATTACATTAAGGTCATCTGATGTGGTATCAAATGCTTTGGAGATTATAAATAGCATAGCATTTGAAAGGCAGGGACTTGAAACTTGTCAGAACCTCCTTGTTGTCGATATAATATGATGTAAGCCATACATCCTCTGGAAGCCCTCCGTCTGTAGTTTCATGAAGATGTGAAGCTCTTTTTAAACAGCCAGGTCAAGATTAACATCACACTAAATCTGGCACTGTTACGCTTGACACATTTGAATGTTTTAAGTGTTCATTACTGTGCATTGTCCCTGCCAAATAAACGATTAAATAAAACATTAACACTGGGTATAATAAACATACATTCATGTCTTTCTTATAAATAATAACCGTTTTTCTGCAGAAGAAAGTTTCCTTCAGGTGAATGAATATGAAAAACAGAGCAGTTATCTGACAGTGTGATGTTCATAAGGACAGGTTTATATCATCGTTAATGCAGGTGTGGGTCGGTACCGAAGTTGAAGATGTGCGCGGTGGTGTGCGCGGTGGTGAAGCCGAGGATGGCGTAGCCCACGATCTGGTGCAGGAGGATGTTTTGGTCCAGAGGCAGAACCCGCACCACCCAGGTGGCCCGAAGCCAGGTGAGGAAGCGCCGCAGCATCAGAACCTGTGTGGGAATATGTACTGATCAGAATGAGTGGTACTCCTGCAGGCCGGGTTGCATCAAGCCCCCAGGAAGTGCTCCGGACTCTGAGGAAAATATTCGTAGTGGCCAAACGGCAGTACTACAATTTCCGTATCAGTCTTTATATTGAGTATCAGGGTAGATCTTTTGAAAGCTACAGACCCAGAATCAGCTCTTTAGTAACAGCTGAAATTGAGGGGGATGAAGCTAGAATGATCTGTTTGGTATTTTGAGCAAAACCCTTCAGAGACATGTTTTTTATATATCTGACTGAGACCTATAATATACGCCTAAAAATAGTATAATAAGAGACCTTTAAAGTACCAGTTTACGTAGAAAAATAGTTTGTTTCGAAACATTTCTTTATTTTACATAAACAATAATAATTGTCTTTGATATGATTATGAGTTACATGATATTGTGAGCGCAGCATCCGGACTAAAACCACCAGACTCAGAGACGGTTTCATCCCACAGGCCAGAAGACTGAACACCTGAACTAAGAACATCCATAACATTCATCTGTTTGCATCTTATATATATTTATATATATATTCCAATTACTATTGGACTATTCTGCACTATTTCGTGTAGTAATGTGTTTTTATTACATGTACAGCACTTTGGCTCGACCAAAAAATCGCTTTTAAATGTGCTATATAAATAAAACCTGATTTGATTTGATTTGATTTGATTTCTATTATATTCTATTCTATTTTATTTTATTGACTTGCACTATTGTATCTGTGTTATTGTGTTGCTCTGTTGGAGGAGCCTGTGGCCTCAGATCTTCATTGACATATCTCCACTGTAGCTCGGTACACATGACAATAAAAGCCTTGAACCTTGAGAAATGTTACCATGATGAAGGTGCAGTTGAAGTTGAGGCACTGCCCGCAGCCCTTGGCCATCATGAACCAGCCGCCGCCCCCCCGTTGCTGCATCACGGCCCCCAGGAACAGGGTCAGGTTGAGGAGGGCGTACAGAACCAGGAAGAGCAGCTTCCTGCTGTTGTTCTGCCAGTAGGCCCGGGTCAGGTATCGCGGGGCCCCTCGCCTCTTTTGGGGGTCCACAGCAGGGGGCTTCAGCCAGTTAGCAGCACTGAGGGGAGGAATCATACATAAACTAATCAATTAATTAGTTAGTGACGCCTCCATCACTAAGGAGGAGAAGTTACCCTAACCTCAGGGAAGGAATCATAATATGAATGACCTGATGGTGAGGTTCTCCATCACCTCGGGGAAGGAATCATAATATTAATGACCTGATGGTGAGGTTCTCCATCACCTCAGGGAAGGAATCATAATATTAATGACCTGATGGTGAGGTTCTCCATCACCTCGGGGAAGGAATCATAATATGAATGACCTGATGGTGAGGTTCTCCATCACCTCGGGGAAGGAATTATAATAATATGAATGACCTGATGGTGAGGTTCTCCATCACCTCGGGGAAGGAATCATAATATGAATGACCTGATGGTGAGGTTCTCCATCACCTCGGGGAAGGAATCATAATATTAATGACCTGATGGTGAGGTTCTCCATCACCTCGGGGAAGTTCTCCAGCTCTGCCTTCAGCTCCTCGAAGGTGATGGAGCCGCTGTTGTCTTTGTCGGCCGACTCGAACAGCGCCAGCGTCAGGTCGTCCAGCTTCTCCTCCGGCAGAGAGATGGCGCTCTCCCGCAGACACGACTTCAGGACGGTGCGCAGCTCGTCGGGGTCGATGGAGCCGCTTCCTGCAAACACATCGTTATTATTATTATTTTTTAAATACTTTATATTGAATATTTCTTTTAGTTACAATAAAGCAAAGACATACACAATATACAGTAAGTAGGTACACGAAGCCTTTACATGGCGTACAAGAGAAGAAGAAACCTGGGTAAAGCTGCCAGTCGACAGCATCGTAGACATAAACTAAAAGCCCAAGGGTAACCCAATACCAACAACAAATAAAATACAGAAAAGAGAAAACAAGAAGAAAAAGAGTAAAAATAACTGGGGGATGGATTGCGTTATTATTATTACTGTTGTTGTTGTTGTTGTTGTTGCAGGACGTGGCAGGCCTTAATGGATAAGTAGTGGTTTAAAGGCTCCTATCATGCAAAAGTCCCTTTCTGATGTCTTCTCGTCCATCACCATGTGGCCCGGGTGTTGTCAGGAGGACTCTCAAAGTGAATTGTGCTTCGCTACATCAACCATGTGTCCCAGGTGTGTCCAGGAGACTCACTAAGTGATGTCTTCTCTTAGCATCACTCATGTGGCCCCGTGGTGTCAGGAGACTCAGCTAAGTGATGTCTTCTCTACATCACCACTAGTGTTCCCCCGGTGTGTTCAAGAGGACTCTCTAAGTGTATGTCTAGCTCTACAATCAGCCCAGTGTGTCCCCGGTGTGTGCCAGGAAGACTCTCAGAAGTGATGTGCTTCTCTAACATGCACCATGTGTCCCGCGGTGTGTCAGGAGACTCTCAAAGTGATGGTCTTCTCTACATCACCATGTGTCCCCGGTGTGTCAGGAGACTCAAAGTGATGTCTTCTCTACATCACCATGTGTCCCCGGTGTGTCAGGAGACTCAAAGTGATGTCTTCTCTACATCACCATGTGTCCCCGGTGTGTCAGGAGACTCACTAAGTGATGTCTTCTCTACATCACCATGTGTCCCCGGTGTGTCAGGAGACTCTCTAAGTGATGTCTTCTCTACATCACCATGTGTCCCCGGTGTGTCAGGAGACTCAAGTGATGTCTTCTCTACATCACCATGTGTCCCCGGTGTGTCAGGAGACTCACTAAGTGATGTCTTCTCTACATCACCATGTGTCCCCGGTGTGTCAGGAGACTCACTAAGTGATGTCTCCTCTACATCACCATGTGTCCCCGGTGTGTCAGGAGACTCACTAAGTGATGTCTTCTCTACATCACCATGTGCCCCCGGTGTGTCAGGAGACTCACTAAGTGATGTCTTCTCTACATCACCACGTGTCCCCGGTGTGTCAGGAGACTCACTAAGTGATGTCTTCTCTACATCACCATGTGTCCCCGGTGTGTCCCCGGTGTGTCAGGAGACTCTCAAAGTGTCAGAAATAAACCCCTCTCTCTTTTCCTCCGTACCCACATCTCTAAAAACGGGGGAACAACGGAGCTGATCCAGATTTGCTGCGTCATGACCACATTACTAAAATGTGGGCGGGCTTTACACCCACGGGCCAATCAGAAACGTTGCTGTCAGAAACAATGAGACGTGTTCTGGAAGTAATACGGTCTGTGTTTACATTAGCATGCTAACACTCAGAGCTAACCTGTACTGGAGAGAGCATGTGTGAAGAAGCAGGAAATCAAAAGGAAGTCACCTTGTGGTAAACCTGAGAGAGAGAAAGAGTTTGAGCTCCATACTGTTTCAGAGAGAATCCTTCATGTGGTTTGGAACATGATATGGAGTTTCAGAGAGAATCCTTCATGTGGTTTGGAACATGGAAGGATCTGTTTGGGGTTTGGAGCAGGACACTTCAGAGACATGTCCTTAGTAACAGCTGGAAGAGAGGGGGGGGGGGGGCTACAAGGATCTGTTTGGGTTAGGAGCAGGACACTTCAGAGACATGTCCTTAGTAACAGCTGGAAGAGAGAGGGGGGGGGGGCTACAAGGATCTGTTGGGGTTTGGAGCAGGACACTTCAGAGACATGTCCTTAGTAACAGCTGGAAGAGAGAGGGGGGGGGGCTACAAGGATCTGTTTGGGGTTTGGAGCAGGACACTTCAGAGACATGTCCTTAGTAACAGCTGGAAGAGAGAGGGGGGGGGGGCTACAAGGGTCTGTTTGGGGTCTGGAGCAGGACACTTCAGAGACATGTCCTTAGTAACAGCTGGAAGAGAGGGGGGGGGGGCTACAAGGATCTGTTTGGTGTTTGGAGCAGGACACTACAGAGACATGTCCTTAGTAACAGCTGGGAGAGAGAGGGGGGGGGGGCTACAAGGATCTGTTTGGTGTTTGGAGCAGGACACTTCAGAGACATGTCCTTAGTAACAGCTGGAAGAGGAGGGGGGGGGCCTAGCTACAAGGGTCTGTTTGGGGTTTTGGAGCAGGACACTCAGAGACATGTCACTTAGTAACGCTGGAAGAGGAGGGGGGGGGGGGGGGGCTACCAAGGATCTGTTTGGGGTTTGGAGCAGGACACTTCAGAGACATGTCCATTAGTAACAGCTGGGAAGAGAGGGGGGGGGGGCTACAAGGATCTGTTTGGGGTTTGGAGCAGGACACTTCAGAGACATGTCTAGTATAACAGCTGGAAGAGAGGGGGGGGGGGGCTACAAGGACCTGTTTGGGTTTGAGCAGGAAACTTCAGAGACTGTCCTTAGTAACAGCTGGAAGAGAGGGGGGGGGGGTACAAGGACTGTTTGGGGTTTGGAGCAGGACACTTCAGAGACATGTCCCTTAATAACAGCTGGAAGAGAGAGGGGGGGGGGGGGGGCTACAAGGATTCTGTTTGGGGTTTGGAACAGGACACTTCAGAGACATGTCCTTAGTAACAGCTGGAGAGAGGGGGGGGGGCCTACAAGGATCTGTTCGGGGTTTGGAGCAGGGACACTTCAGAGACCATGTCCTTAGTAACAGCTGGAAGAGAGGGGGGGGGGCTACAAGGGTCTGTTTGGGGTTTGGAGCAGGACACTTCAGAGACATGTCCTTAGTAACAGCTGGAAGAGAGAGGGGGGGGGGGGATACAAGATCTGTTGGGGTTTGGAGCAGGACACTTCAGAGACATGTCCTTAGTAACAGCTGGAAGAGAGGGGGGGGGGGGCTACAAGGATCTGTTCGGGGTTTGGAGTAGGACACTTCAGAGACATGTCCTCAGTAACAGCTGGAAGAGAGGGGGGGGGGCTACAAGGATCTGTTTGGGGTTTGGAGCAGGACACTTCAGAGGACATGTCCTTAGTAACAGTGGAAGAGAGGGGGGGGGGGCTACAAGGAATCTGTTTTGGTGTTGGAGCAGGACACTTCAGGAGACACTGTCCTTAGTAACAGGCTGGAAGAGGAGGAGGGGGGGGGCTACAAGGATCTGTTCGGGGTTTGGAGCAGGACACTTCAGAGACATGTCCTTATATATCTGAGAGCTGTAATATCTAACAATAGTATAGGAGAGCTCTAATGTTTGATATCGACTGACCGTCCACGTCGTACACCTGGAACAGGAAGTGCAGCTTGTCGCTCTCGCTGCCGTGTATCAGCAGCTGCAGCGCCTCCAGGAGCTCCGTCAGGCTGATGGAGCCGCTGCCGTCAGAGTCAAAGAGAGCGAAGAAACGCTCGGCGAAGAACGACTGCAGACAGAACACATCAGAAAACACCTTTTATACAATAACCACAGTTTATTAGGGATCAATACACGGCTTGGTTGAATATTCAATTCTGATTGGTTGATTCAGACATTTCTGAGGTTGTGAATACTCGATAACACACTGTTGCTAAGGGAGACAATAACACACTGTTGCTAAGGGAGAGAAGGAAGTAGGTTAAAAGACGGAGAGAGACAGGAAGTAAACACTGAAGGGAACAGACAGGAAGTAAACACTGAAGGGAACAGACAGGAAGTAAATATTGAAGGGAACAGACAGGAAGTAAACACTGAAGGGAACAGACAGGAAGTAAACACTGAAGGGAACAGACAGGAAGTAAACATTGAAGGGAACAGACAGGAAGTAAACACTAAAGGGAACAGCAGAAGAAGACAGACAGGAAGTAAACACTAAAGGGAACAGACAGGAAGTAAACACTAAAGGGAACAGCAGAAGAAGACAGACAGGAAGTAAACACTGAAGGGAACAGACAGGAAGTAAACACTAAAGGGAACAGACAGGAAGTAAACACTGAAGGGAACAGACAGGAAGTAAACACTGAAGGGAACAGACAGGAAGTAAACACTGAAGGGAACAGACAGGAAGTAAACACTGAAGGGAACAGACAGGAAGTCAACACTGAAGGGAACAGCAGAAGAAGACAGACAGTAAGTAAACACTAAAGGGAACAGACAGGAAGTAAACACTAAAGGGAACAGACAGGAAGTAAACACTGAAGGGAACAGACAGGAAGTAAACACTAAAGGGAACAGACAGGAAGTAAACACTAAAGGGAACAGACAGGAAGTAACCACTAAAGGGAACAGACAGGAAGTAAACACTAAAGGGAACAGACAGGAAGTAAACACTAAAGGGAACAGACAGGAAGTAAACACTAAAGGGAACAGACAGGAAGTAAACACTGAAGGGAACAGACAGGAAGTAAACACTGAAGGGAACAGACAGGAAGTAAACACTAAAGGGAACAGACAGGAAGTAAACACTAAAGGGAACAGCAGAAGAAGACAGACAGACAGGAAGTAAACACTGAAGGGAACAGACAGGAAGTAAACACTAAAGGGAACAGACGGGAAGTAAACACTAAAGGGAACAGACAGGAAGTAAACACTAAAGGGAACAGCAGAAGAAGACAGACAGGAAGTAAACACTAAAGGGAACAGACAGCAAGTAAACACTAAAGGGAACAGACAGGAAGTAAACACTAAAGGGAACAGACAGGAAGTAAACACTAAAGGGAACAGCAGAAGAAGACAGACAGGAAGTAAACACTAAAGGGAACAGACAGGAAGTAAACACTAAAGGGAACAGACAGGAAGTAAACACTAAAGGGAACAGAGGAAGAAGACAGACAGGAAGTAAACACTGAAGGGAACAGACAGGAAGTAAACACTGAAGGGAACAGACTGGAAGTAAACACTAAAGGGAACAGCAGAAGAAGACAGACAGGAAGTAAACACCTAAATCTCTGACCTCTTTGACCTTCAGGGCAGTTTTGAACTCGTCGATGTCAATCTCCTTGTCGTCCCCGGCGATGCTTTCAAACTGTTTGGTGACCCCAGTCCAACCAATGGGAGTCCTCCTCTGCACTCATACTGCTGAACATATACAAATACTACACTATAATACACTCATACTGCTGAACATATACAAATACTACACTATAATACACTCATACTGCTGAACATATACAAATACTACACTATAATACACTCATACTGCTGAACATATACAAATACTACACTATAATACACTCATACTGCTGAACATATACAAATACTACACTACAATACACTCATACTGCTGAACATATACAAATACTACACTACAATACACTCATACTGCTGAACATATACAAATACTACACTACAATACACTCATACTGCTGAACATATACAAATACTACACTATAATACACTCATACTGCTGAACATATACAAATACTACACTATAATACACTCATACTGCTGAACATATACAAATACTACACTATAATACTTTAGTTTTCGAGGAGCTTTTTGATCACAGATGTGAAAACATCGTCGCTTGCTTTAAAAGTAGCACACTTCATTATGTCAAACCAAATATACTCTTATTATTTTTGTTTATCATTATAAACACTCGTACTTCTTAAAGTAAAAATATATTTATTTATATTAAAATATAATATAGTAGTTATAATAAAATAATATCATGTACATTATTCTGCATTACGAGTTGTTTTACTTGCACAAATATAAATATATATATTTGTGTTTTTGTGATATTATTGTGATTAAGCAGCAGAGCTTCAGCAGCAGCTGCAGACGTCCTGTGGAGGTTTCCATGGAGACACCACACACAGAAAACAAATACATAAACAAATAAATAAATAAATAATTAAATTGATGGATAAATAAATATCTAAAATGACTAGGTTAGCTACGTTAGCTAGCTAGCTTACAGCAGATCTGCAGTGACATCAGAAGGAGTCATGTGATCACATTGTTCAAATAAGACCAGAAAACATTTCAGTTTCCAACAACAGTTGTTCAGCTTTATCATCCTGAACGTCCCCAGCTGTGTGCGTCACTCTTTAGTGTCCCCTGGTCTCCAGCTGTGTGCGTCACTCTTTAGTGTCCCCTGGTCTCCCAGCTGTGTGCGTCACTCTTTAGTGTCCCCTGGTCTCCCAGCTGTGTGCGTCACTCTTTAGTGTCCCCTGGTCTCCAGCTGTGTGCGTCACTCTTTAGTGTCCCCTGGTCTCCCAGCTGTGTGCGTCACTCTTTAGTGTCCCCTGGTCTCCAAGCTGTGTGCGTCACTCTTTAGTGTCCCCTGGTCTCCCAGCTGTGTGCGTCACTCTTTAGTGTCCCCTGGTCTCCAGCTGTGTGCGTCACTCTTTAGTGTCCCCTGGTCTCCCAGCTGTGTGCGTCACTCTTTAGTGTTCCCTTGTCTCCCAGCTGTGTGCGTCACTCTTTAGTGTCCCCTGGTCTCCGAGCTGTGTGCGTCACTCTTTAGTGTCCCCTGGTCTCCCAGCTGTGTGCGTCACTCTTTAGTGTTCCCTGGTCTCCCAGCTGTGTGCATCACTCTTTAGTGTCCCCTGGTCTCTCAGCTGTGTGCGTCACTCTTTAGTGTCCCTTGTCTCCCAGCTGTGTGCGTCACTCTTTAGTGTCCCCTGGTCTCCCAGCTGTGTGCGTCACTCTTTAGTGTCCCCTTGTCTCCCAGCTGTGTGCGTCACTCTTTAGTGTCCCCTGGTCTCCCAGCTGTGTGCGTCACTCTTTAGTGTCCCCTTGTCTCCCAGCTGTGTGCGTCACTCTTTAGTGTCCCCTGGTCTCCAGCTGTGTGCGTCACTCTTTAGTGTCCCCTGATCTCCAGCTGTGTGCGTCACTCTTTAGTGTCCCCTGGTCTCCCAGCTGTGTGCGTCACTCTTTAGTGTCCCCTGGTCTCCAGCTGTGTGCGTCACTCTTTAGTGTCCCCTGATCTCCAGCTGTGTGCGTCACTCTTTAGTGTCCCCTTGTCTCCCAGCTGTGTGCGTCACTCTTTAGTGTCCCCTGGTCTCCCAACTGTGTGCGTCACTCTTAGTGTCCCCTGGTCCCCCAGCTGTGTGCGTCACTCTTTAGGTCCCCCTGGGTCTGCCCCAGCTGTGTGCGTCACTCTTTAGTGTCCCCTGTCTCCCAGCTGTGTGCGTCACTCTTTAGTGTCCCCTGTCTCCCAGCTGTGTGCGTCACCTCTTTAGTGTCCCCTGGTCTCCCAAGCTGTGTGCGTCACCTTTAGTGTCCCCTGGTCTTCCAACTGTGTGCGTCACTCTTTAGGTCCCCTGGTCTCCCAGCTGTGTGCGTCACTCTTTAGTGTCCCCTGTTCTCCGCTGTGTGCTCACTCTTTAGTGGTCCCCCTGTCTCCCCAGCTGCTGGTTCGTCACTCTTTAGTGTCCCCTGGTCTCCCAGCTGTGTGCGTCACTCTTTAGTGTCCCCTGTTTCTCCCAGCTGTGTGCGTCACTCTTTAGTGTCCCCTGGTCTCCCAGCTGTGTGCGTCACTCTTTAGTGTCCCCTGGTCTCCCAGCTGTGTGCGTCACTCTTTAGTGTCCCCCTGGTCTCCCAGCTGTGTGCGTCACTCTTTAGTGTCCCCTTGTCTCCCAGCTGTGTGCGTCACTCTTTTAGTGTCCCTGGTCTCCCAGCTGTGTGCGTCACTCTTTAGTGGTCCCCTGGTCTCCCAGCTGTGTGCGTCACTCTTTAGTGTCCCCTGGTCTCCAGCTGTGTGCGTCACTCTTTAGTGTCCCCTGATCCTCCAGCTGTGTGCGTCACTCTTTAGTGTCCCCCTTGTCTCCCAGCTGTGTGCGTCACTCTTTAGTGTCCCCTGGTCTCCCAACTGTGTGCGTCACTCTTTAGTGTTCCCCTGGTCCCCCAAGCTGTGTGCGTCACTCTTTAGTGTCCCCTGGTCTCCCAGCTGTGTGCGTCACTCTTTAGTGTCCCCTGGTCTCCCAGCTGTGTGCGTCACTCTTTAGTGTCCCCTGGTCTCCCAACTGTGTGCGTCACTCTTTAGTGTCCCCTGGTCTCCCAGCTGTGTGCGTCACTCTTTAGTGTCCCCTGGTCTCCCAACGTGTGCGTCACTCTTTAGTGTCCCCTGGTCTCCCAACTGTGTGCGTCACTCTTTAGTGTCCCCTGGTCCTCCCAACTGTGTGCGTCTCTCTTTAGTGTCCCCCTGGTCTCCCAGCTGTGTGCGTCACTCTTTAGTGTCCCCTGTCTCCAGCTGTGGTGCGTCACTCTTTAGTGTCCCCTGGTCTCCCAGCTGTGTGCGTCACTCTTTAGTGTCCCCTGGTCTCCCAGCTGTGTGCGTCACTCTTTAGTGTCCCCTGTTCTCCCAGCTGTGTGCGTCACTCTTTAGTGTCCCTGGTCTCCCAGCTGTGTGCGTCACTCTTTAGTGTCCCCTGGTCTCCCAGCTGTGTGCGTCACTCTTTAGTGTCCCCTGGTCTCCCAGCTGTGTGCGTCACTCTTTAGTGTCCCCTTGTCTCCCAGCTGTGTGCGTCACTCTTTAGTGTCCCCTGGTCTCCCAGCTGTGTGCGTCACTCTTTAGTGTCCCCTTGTCTCCCAGCTGTGTGCGTCACTCTTTAGTGTCCCCTGGTCTCCCAACTGTGTGCGTCACTCTTTAGTGTCCCCTGGTCCCCCAGCTGTGTGCGTCACTCTTTAGTGTCCCCTGTTCTCCCAGCTGTGTGCGTCACTCTTTAGTGTCCCCTGGTCTCCCAGCTGTGTGCGTCACTCTTTAGTGTCCCCTGGTCTCCCAGCTGTGTGCGTCACTCTTTAGTGTCCCCTTGTTCTCCCAGCTGTGTGCGTCACTCTTTAGTGTCCCCTGGTCTCCCAGCTGTGTGCGTCACTCTTTAGTGTCCCCTGGTCTCCCAGCTGTGTGCGTCACTCTTTAGTGTCCCCTGGTCTCCCAGCTGTGTGCGTCACTCTTTAGTGTCCCCTTGTCTCCCAGCTGTGTGCGTCACTCTTTAGTGTCCCCTGGTCTCCCAGCTGTGTGCGTCACTCTTTAGTGTCCCCTTGTCTCCCAGCTGTGTGCGTCACTCTTTAGTGTCCCCTGGTCTCCCAACTGTGTGCGTCACTCTTTAGTGTCCCCTGGTCCCCCAGCTGTGTGCGTCACTCTTAGTGTCCCCTGGTCTCCCAGCTGTGTGCGTCACTCTTTAGTGTCCCCTGGTCTCCCAGCTGTGTGCGTCACTCTTTAGTGTCCCCTTGTCTCCCAGCTGTGTGCGTCACTCTTTAGTGTCCCCTGGTCTCCCAGCTGTGTGTGCGTCACTCTTTAGTGTCCCCTGGTCTCCCAGCTGTGTGCGTCACTCTTTAGTGTCCCCTGGTCTCCCAGCTGTGTGCGTCACTCTTTAGTGTCCCCTGGTCTCCCAGCTGTGTGCGTCACTCTTTAGTGTCCCCTGGACTTCTGGCGACGAGGCGACGCTTTGATTTAAATACAAAATGGGCGATGAAAGGACGTGGAGGTTTAGGAACTGAAAAACAACCTAAAGTTTGAAGCTTTTTGTCCTTTTATTACTCTTTTTTCTACTCGTTTGTTCAGACTGATATGAATTCAGCACATTTCAGACGCATGTGAAGACTTTTCTGCGGGAGCATTAAAAGTATGTTGTGATGATTTAGTTTATTGCTGCAGCTCTGTGTGTCTCTTGAGACACATTAGAGACGTACTGATCATAATGTGGTTTGAGCCGTCACTTTCTGCTCACAGCTGTTTTACCTGTCGGATCATTCTCTGGTTCTTCTTCTGATCTGTGACTGTTTTCACAAGTAATTGCAATTTTATTCCCTGAAATGTGTGAGTTTGTGAGTTTAAAGTTTATTTTTCAATACATTCAGATTTGTTTCCCGATTACACTTTGACGTTTTTCTCCTAAAGAATCTGAGTTTTATTCTCATACATTTTTGAGTTTTTCACAATAAATTGCTCTTTTTTTCTGGTAGATTTGTGAGTCTTTTTAAAGATTGTTTTGAATATTGGTAATGTAGTTTAGATGGACCAAAATAAATGTAAACCCGTCAATATCGGCTCACAGCAGACGGTGAAGACTGAGATGAAAGCAGTCACAGTTTTACCTGTCGGATCATTCTGTGGTTCTTCTTC